CAGCGTAGCATCCACGTATGTAGGCAAGGTACATGAACGTTAATATCCCCCCCACCCCACCCATGCCCAGTGACGTAGCAGCAGCGTAGCATCCACGTATGTAGGCAAGGTACATGAACGTTAATATCCCCCCCCACCCCACCCATGCCCAGTGACGTAGCAGCAGCGTAGCATCCACGTATGTAGGCAAGGTACATGAACGTTAATATCCCCCCCTCACCCCACCCATGCCCAGTGACGTAGCAGCAGCGTAGCATCCACCTATGTAGGCAAGGTACATGAACGTTAATATCCCCCCCCACCCCACCCATGCCCAGTGACGTAGCAGCAGCGTAGCATCCACGTATGTAGGCAAGGTACATGAACGTTAATATCCCCCCCACCCCACCCATGCCCAGTGACGTAGCAGCAGCGTAGCATCCACGTATGTAGGCAAGGTACATGAACGTTAATATCCCCCCCCACCCCACCCATGCCCAGTGACGTAGCAGCAGCGTAGCATCCACGTATGTAGGCAAGGTACATGAACGTTAATATCCCCCCCCACCCCACCCATGCCCAGTGACGTAGCAGCAGCGTAGCATCCCCGTATGTAGGCAAGGTACATGAACGTTAATATCCCCCCCCACCCCACCCATGCCCAGTGACGTAGCAGCAGCGTAGCATCCACGTATGTAGGCAAGGTACATGAACGTTGATATCCCCCCCCCACCCCACCCAACCCCCTTTTGCTAAAATATGTATTTCGGTCCACGGCCGTCTATGCGCCGGGTACCCACTACATAGCCATAAATCCCATTACTTGTCATATTTGATGGTTAAAACATGTTAAAACCCATATAGCATCATTTGATGGTTATAGTGGATAAATGGGCCATGGCTTCCATAGCTAAGGTTAGCAAAGGCTAGATCAAGTTCTTCTCACTATAAATCGATAATGTGGGTAATTAAAACAATAATAAACCATCCCCCAGTCATCACCATAAATAGGTGGTATACACCATTCCCAAATGGGTGGTTTATGGCATTGTTTTAACCACATGAATCATTCTCCCCAAAATCATTCTCTATAATTGGCAAATTGTCTATCAATTGGTCATTCTCTATACCCAAATGCTCCATGGTGCTGGAATATTTACCTACATTTACCCCTTTTTTTGGGGCCCAGTTTTGTAGGTTCATATTCCAGTTATTCCAGCACCATGGAGCATCTGGGATAGCTACCCTCTGGTAAACTAACATAACTATGGAAAATCACCATTTTTCATGGGACAATTCACTATTTCTATGGCCATTTTCCATAGCTTTTTGTTGGTTTACCGGAGGCGATTCATTACCCATGACTTGCGAAATCCCCAATGATTTCGGGCCAACCTCCGCTGCCCAGGCTTCGTCTGAGCCGCCTGGATCGCTGGGAAATGCCCGACGCTTCGCAGGGAAAATATGGGGAAAAATACGGGACACCAAGAAAACACATGGGAAAACATGGGAAATATAGAGGAAACATCATGATTTTTTGGAAGATCCAACATCCCCTATAAAAAACAAGGGGAAGGTATTGGAAAATGTGGGAAAAGCCTGAGAAGATCCATGGGAAAATCCCTGGACTTAGATGCTGAATGATGCTAAGTCAAAATCATGACAAAATGAGTCAAAATGAACCCCATGACAAAAAGACGCTTGCACATCTTTGTTATCATGAAACCCTGGATTAGAAAGCATAAGAACATCGTCTGGTTGGTGGTTTCAGCCCCTTCTGAAAAAATATGAGTGCGTCAATTGGGATCATGAAATTCCCAATCTATGGAAAGTCATAAAATTCATGTCCCAAAGCACCAACCAGATCATTTGTTGCGAAAAATCTATAGTCCCTTCCCAACATCACCCAGAAACGCCATGGATCTGCCAGGGTGTAATTCGCCTGCCGGAGCCGCGGCCATGTCCAACAAGTCATCCTCCTGGAGAGTTTTCATCCTAAGGGATGCCCATCCCACCATTGTTGGGATAAATGACCATCATTTACCAGGAAAATGATCACATATATCAACTTAACTAGGGGTTATCCACCATATTAATCTGGGAAAAACATATTAGTAATATTTCACGAACGCTTGAAATGTGAAAAACTATCTTGGGGATGATTCCCCGAATCTTAACCATGATTATAGTGAGGGAGAACAGTGAGGTCCTTATAATCTATCCAGATTATTGGATGATCATTGGATATCATAGATACATATATATATATATATATGGGTATATTAACATCATTGGGGAATGACAACATCCCCTTGGGAAAATACTCCAACTGCTCCAAATCCAGGCGTTTTTTGGGGTAAAGCTGGAGGTGTTTCATCATAGCATTTTGTCTGATCATCCAATATCAAGGTCATTAAAGGGTCCAAATGTGTCCAGAATCTGAATATACCCTCTGGTAAACTAACATAGCTATTGAAAATGGCCATTTATAGTGGATTTACCCATTAAAAATAATGATTTTCCATAGCTATGTTAGTTTACCAGAGGGTAGATATTGCATCAATTTCTCCTGACATCTCCACCACCAACTGCAACTCAAGTGGTTCAACCCAAGTGTCTTGGCTTTTTTTGGTCAATCTTGGACTGCAAAAAATGACAAATTCTGAGCTGGTGAACGTAGATAATCCCATCGATACCAAAAGACAATATAGTTAGGATTAGTTTCTACCCATCCAAGATTGACCTAGGCTTTATATCTCTGGCAATAAGTCATTTTTAGTCTTGGCCTTGCATGCTGAAGCAGCGGCTGATGGAAAAGAACCTCGACTTGAGAACAGCTTTCCATCACTATGGCCATGACAAACACCATCTGGGATCATTTGGGCATAGCAAGGTGATTTCTATGGTTTATGGTGTACATATATATATATATAATATATATATATGGTCTATATTATATATATATCATATATATATATACATATATATATATATATATATCGAAGTAGGTTATAAACCAACAAACATCACTGGGGGGGGCACCAACTTATTAGAGACCAGTAAGTAAGTCCAAAACCGTGCAAAAGCCTGGGATCAACTCGCTGGGATCATGTCCCATATGAGGATTGAGGACGGCAGCATCCACTTCCAGCATTACCGAATCATTCAAGGCCCCATGATTCAACAGGCATTAGGCTGCAGCTTGCAGCAGATTGGACATGTTTAGCAAACTGTATATTCTTGCAGAAGAAATGCCTTCTGGTAAACTAACATAACCATAGCAAATCATCCGTTTTAACAGGCAAATCAACTACAAATGGCCAGTTACAATAGCAAACTGTTAGTTTACCAGAGGGTATCAGTGAAGAAAATGCCATGTTGATCATGTTGGAAGGCCTCCATGCGGAAAGCCTCCATTACCCCATGGTACCCGCAGGTTGATCGTTATCCCCAATGAACATGGCATTCATGGCATTTGAGAGCTATTTATATATGTATAATTATATATATATGTATATATATGTATATATATATATATGTATAATTATATATATACACCACATGTTCAGTTCCATTAATCCCTACATTTTTTCACAGAATAAAACCACAATGATCACAATGTACAGTACCTACAGTACCACTGTACCGCCCTTTTGAAACCATCCTTGAAGCCCTTGAATGCTTCCAACAATCAACATCTGAAGATGTTGATTGTATCCCAGTAATGTCCCAATATCATTCAATATCCATTGAATCACATTATCTGGTTGGTGGTTGAGCCACCCCTCTGAAAAATATGAAAGTCAGTTGGGATGATGACATTCCCAATATATGGAAAAATAAAATTAATGTTCCAAACCACCAACCAGTTATGCTCTACCGAGTCAGCCCTGGGCTTTCCAGACTCTCTGGTTCTGCAGCTGGTTCGCATGGCTTCAACACGTCATGGCCCTGCGGGGTCACGGGGTCAGCTTCATCACTGCTGGGTGATGGAAGAATGATGTAACGGATATAAAGCATGTATATATCATATACATATTATAATCTGTAGATGTAGATAAGTATATATATATTATATCACATCACATAAAATATGCATTAATGTAGGCGAGACATGGTTTTTCGCTTGGCTGCCCAGCAAGAACCAAACGAAAAGACTGGAACATTGGACGAAACTGCTGGACAGTTGAAGCACCAGTCTTTCATGGTCGATGGGTATCCCTAAAAAAGTAAACTGAATATTTGGAGCAAACTGCAGGCCAAATCCTCCAAAATATCTATGCATTTAATATGATTTAATCATCTATGTGAGTAGAAAAAAGAGCAATTCACTCATCTGGGGATTGGTCAAAACCCTATCCCCCTTCTGTTCACATCAAAATAGCTGGTAAATGGATGTTCATCCAATAAACTGTATCTATAGGTATTGATCCATAGCCATCTGAATAGTGAAGCCTTATTGGACTCCAGCGCCGTGCTTCGCAGAGTAAGTCGATTACACAAAGCGCATCAGTTGACACAGTTGACACAAGCAACAACACGGCACTGGAATCATCTCGGTTATCCATGGTATTTCCATGGTTAATGTCAACCCCGGATTAGTAAACGGTTTATTAATTGGGGGGGGTACTCCTCCAATAGTCATTATTTGATACTTAAATGGTACCCACCCAATTAAACAGCCTAGGGGTTTATTAATCCAGGGTTGACATTATTCATGGTTATGCCAGGTATAACTGGGCAATTTCACCCCACTTAAACTATCTTAAACTCGCACCAGTTACAAATTTCTCGTGGCGTATCCAAAGTGGCCTCAATGACACCGGTCAGCATCGGTGTATGACTCTTTTCAAATAAATCATCTATCATCAACTATCATCAACTGGTACTCTGTTTCGGCATCCCACATTCTTGGACGCACTGTGCTGAGTGTTCTTGATCGTCAGCCACCCTAAAGGCACCTCTCATCACTGGAGGTAACTCCAGGATCCGCCCATTGGAAACCACTTCACCACCAGACATAGTTGCGAAACTCCTGCGATCCCTTCAAGTAGAGGGCAACTTTGCCGCATCTGCAGAAAGGTCTCCCGGCATTTGGCGCTCATGCTGTTGCCCTTCAACGGTTGGGCGAAACATCACCATGATCTTTCCATACAGGAAGGGCCCCCTAGTTGCAAGTTGGTTTATAAGCCTATCTAATAGTCTAACTATATATTATATAACATTATATAACTACATATATAGCTATAATGTTATATATAACTATAACTATATATTATTATTTTATTGTATATATATATATGAGTACATATGATTACATATGATTACATGTGATTACATATGATTATATATCAATATTATATATCATTATATATTATTATATATCAATATTATATATCATTATATATTATTAAATATCATTATATATTATTATATATCATTAAGTATCATTATATTATATTATTATATATCATTATATACCATTATATATGGTAGTATGGTAGATGTATCATGATGTGTCCACCATAAATCCAAAAAAATCGCCTCCGAAGTCAGTCACCAACACCCAACCCCGGTCCTCTGTGAAGTTGATTTTGTCATCCAGTTTCTTGTCACTGTTCAAAGAAATCAACTGTGCCGATACCTCGGCAAAAGTCGCTGGGAGGGACAATGATAGGACTCGAGCTGCTCTGAAAGTTTCAATCACCCCTCAATCTCAGGCCGTATCTTGATGGTTCCTCCAATTTCATAAGCCTGGTATTCACTCCAAATCCTACCAGCAGTAATAGAACATCTGTTTGCTTATAGATATATAACCAATTCATGGTTCATGGATACTAAGCATCATTTACCGAATCTTTCAGATATTTGCATCTACATGTTATAAACAGTTTAAACTGAGGTCGCTGTCAAAAATCTACCAAAATCCACCAGCTTAAGGCTTACTGAGCTCCTGGCTTGCCCCAGCAACGCCTGAGGGCTTCAACTCATCATGATTTGTGGAAGCCACCGCCCATGTAGTTCCATGAGTTGTCGATTGATTTAGCCATTGATTGAGCAATTCTAAACCATGACAACCTTTAATTACCATGATTTAGATTGCTTTCTTAGCCATTCATGACAACCTCCTATTTAGCCATTGTTTTAATACGGTGTTTTGCCGATCGCAAGTTGTGTCAGATTACCCATCAAAGGGTATCCTCTGACAGACACAACTTGCTAAGGAAAAAAAACACACCATTAAAACAACAGGTAAATACCCTCTGGTTATGACTAACATAGCCATGGAAAATCCCTCATAAATGGGAAATCATCTATTTCTATGGGCCATCTATACCATGGCTCTGTTAGTCATACCCAGAGGGTAAATAAATCATCAATGGGATATCTAAAACCAGCTGGTTCAGATTTAGATGATTTTAGATGGCACATTTCTATACATTTCTAGTTCTCAACATCGGCTGGAGCTTGAGAGGGATGATTCATGATGATTCTAGATGACTCTACTTCTCGTGTCCTGCCTCTTCGGCCAGTTTACCTATGAAGCACGGTAATTTTTCTTGGCAAACTGTGAGTCATTACTGGAGTTTATCAGAAATGTCAGAAATGTCGATGCGTTTTTCCACCAAATGATTTACCTTTGAAACATGGTGATGATGTTACGCCATGGTACGCCAGATGATACTCCCAGATGATACCCAGATGCTACGCCATGGTACGCTTCATCAACTGAAGCCCAGCTGCCTCGACTTTGGCTCCCACCATGGCTTGTGTGGCCACTTGAACCGTGAGCGCATCCATCTTTCCTCCCAGGGAGGACTGGGATAGCACCTGTTTTTCGAGCAGCTCAACCTGAGCGCGAGAATCCACATCAACATCAACAACCACCCATTCTGCCAACAAATGGGGATCAAAAGCTATGAACTTCCACCCATCTCCGAATACGTGTGTATCATTCAATTTCATCCAATACTTGGTGATGTATCACATGAAATCCCCAGTCATATCCCATTAAATCAGCATTTCATGTTATTTCATGGGTTAATCTAACTACTCTAACTTACTTGACCATGGCGCCCATCGTGTATGGGTCAAGTCACTGGGTTCCCATGACGGTATGGGTGGTCCCCTGACTTTTTCCATGGCCTCTATGGGAGATGAGGCTTCCCCATCCCGAAAACCATGGGAACATGGAGGTTTTAATGGGAAAACCATAGGAAAACCATAGGAAAATGGAGGTTTACCCTCTGGTAAACGTTTACGAAAAACGAACTGGAAAGATACCCACCATAGCTGGGATTTGCTGGGATTTGCTGGGTAAATCCACGACATTTCGACTGGGGCATGGCTTCGGCATGTCGCTTTTTGTATGTAAAAACCAGGCCGGTAGTCCGCTTGGAGTTCACATCTAGGTGCCATCTGAGTGCCGCACCTGGCTGCTGATTCCAGACAATGCAGCTGCCTGTGTGGGCAGAGTGCTGAGCTTCTCCTGTACGTCTGCCTGAAGTCCATTGAAGTCCGTGGTCCCATGATCACGGCAAAATGTTCGCGAACCCCGAAATGGGATAGTACAATGGGGGGCCCCCAAGATAGCTAAGTTATGCTAAGTTGGTTTACAATGAATAGGGTTTATGGTAATTATAATTATAGTTAGATGTATAAACCAACTTATAACTAAGTAAACCCCACATTTTATAGGGGATTCAGCCAACAAAATATAAGGATCATGCTGGGGGTTGGTGAAACATGATGAAAAACCATCAGCCGGTTGGGCTACAAAGAATAGTAATGGAGATTTTCCAGCAACAAAAAAACGAAGAATCATGAAGATATGACTACAGAGTAGTGGGGAATAATGGGCATATCTAATCTCAACTGACCGCAACAAACTCACAGGCGACAGGCTTGGCTTGGCTGAGAGTTCAGGCTTATGGCTGATCTTTGCGACCCTGCCATTTTTTGAGATAACGAATGATAGGAAGAGAGGATGGTGAATGCATGTGGAACCCCCTTAATAGTTTAATAGTTGAATAATGTTGAATAATCATCAGAGGATGCCAAACTGCGCCAACATGTCTCAACAAATCTAACCTGATTTGCGATGCCTGGTGCAGTTGCTTTTGTGTTGGGCCCCCATGCCAAAGTGGTGCTTCTTTCCTTCTTCTCCTGGGGATTTTTGTCACTGTCGATGGCATCACTCGAACAGGGAGAATGACCGCTGATTCACCAATGGTGATATAGGGAGTATGTAGTTCAGACAAACCCTTGTTGGACGCCAAGGAAAAAATAAGTCTCCGCGGCTATATAAACAATGTCATGAAAAACTATCACCCAACTTTGACACCATGGAAGTGGATGGGATTTTCCATGACTCTAGTAACTCTAGTAACTCTAGTAGGCATCACCAGCACAGATGCTCCCCAAATGGTAAAACCAAACCATTGGCGTTTGGCTGACAGGCTGACATTTACTATCCAGAATCCAATGGCTCATCCCCTTACGATTGGTTCAAACTCACCCTTGGCTCTTCATGATACGGTGAAAGAAATCCTGCACCACCAACCAGATGGTTGAAACATGTTGAAACCCTATAAATAATGGGATAAACTGGGATGTTTATCACCTATCAACTGGTGCAAGATTTCGCTGTCCCGCTGTCCTGTTCAAGCCATTTGGCTTGCTCCTCCATCTTGACCAGTACTTTGCTGATCTGGTCACAGCCAGTGCCAACAGGCCATGTTTCAGATCTGGATTTCAAGGGATTCATGGGGATGAAAATACGGCTTCTCTGATTCTTGGGAATCCTACTGAGTAATCCCATCCCAGTATTTGAGATTTACAGCCCAATGGAAATCCGATGGAACCGTTGATCTATTCATTTTATTTCAGGTCGACCACCAAATTTCTCTGGGGGGAACCTCGCTGGATCCCCCAGCAGCACCTGGGCTTTCACAACGGCCAGTTCATCGTGGATTCCCTTCACCTCCTTTTGCACCTGAAGTTTCCGAGGAGCAAGACCTATGGGAGACATCGGCATACCCCCGTGGACATAGGACAGCTGAGATTCTCGCAGCAGGGTATTCATTTTCTAGAAAGCAGCATGGCTCTGCCACAATGTTTTTGCCGCAGTGACTTCGCTGGCGCCTCAATTGCCAGGTGCTTAGTCTTCTTGTCGAGATCTTGAAGTTCGCGGCGCTGATCTGCAGCTTCCTCGGCTGCAAATCATTGGGTTTTCGTATCATTTTCGAGTGACAGAAAAAAGGGAGAAATTGAAGGAAAAACATTGCAAAACCATGCTGGTTGGTGGTTTTAAGCATCTTGAAACATATGAGTTCATCAGTTGGGATGATTATTCCCAATATATGGAAAGCCATAAAATTCATGTTCCAAACCACCAACCAGAACATGATGAGTCAACCATGAGTCAACTCTGAATGAGAATCTGAGCCTGAAATAGTCCTCATTTACATATTGACTTACCATAGACATCCAACCCGTCCACCCCGGACACCACATGGGATGTGTTCCCTGTGGGTCCTTGGCAGCAAGCTCGGCTTTCATCATGACATCATTCTTGACACCAAGCACTTGGTGTTTCCTGAGTCATGGGGCTACCCCAAGCGAGCATTGGATGGTTTATTTCATGGAAAATCCATCTATAAATGGATGATTTGGGGGTACCCCATTTCAGGAAACCTCCATAATATGACTTTGGGAGCTCGAAACACATGGTGATTTTCTCAAAGTTATTCCGCCAAGTTGTGTTGTACCTTAAGGAAAAACCATCAGTTGCAGGGTCGCATTGAGAAAAATAAACAGTGAGCGGGGTAATCAGGAGGTGATGTCTTCAAGCATCTTTCAACGTGCGATAACATGCATGCCTTTTGTCGGAAAGCAATTTATGGTGCATCTGGAAGTCACTTGTCATTTTCAAAAAGGAGCATCAGCAGCATGATTTCGCAAGACTGAAAGCTTCATGGAGAACAACTCCAGTCGACCCAGTCAAAACTCAGCTTCACCTTCTCTCCCTACACAAATCTATAGCCGAGTGTGTGTGTTTTTTTTATCGTCCACTGGTCAGGCCATCAGCATGGTGAAACCAGCCCAGCTGAGATGGGAACACATCGAAGAAGCCTGACCTGGGCATCTGGGCGTCTTTCTGAAACGATCCCCAGACATTTGTGAAGGTGTTGATCATGCAGTACTCAAACAGACAATGCAAAAGTTGGAAAAAAACCATCTTAAATGGGAAAGTTCATGAAAATTCACCAATCTAAGATTAGTCAAACAATGCACAAGTTGGAAAAAGACAAACTTTCAATGGGAATTTTACTAATCTAAGATTGGTCTTCTAAATGTGGAATTGTCTCACAGGATAGATTACTATCCGGGCTATCCCTGGACAATGCTGGCTTCTGGGGCTTCTAGGAAGTCATGTTTTCAAGAGGAACCATCAGCTCTGCCGAATTGCCGTTCAAGACGTAGCGTTTTCATCCCATTTATGGAAGTCTGTGCACTTGATCAGCTGACACCCCTGTGAAACTGGTATACAATGCTCTCCAAGAAAATCAACTCGAGAAGGCACCGCTGCTTTTCTCAAAGACACCCCATCCCTCCAACCCTATATCCTCCAACCCAGTTCCATCCAATCCCCATGCTGAAAAATTCCACCGATGTCTTCTCCCTATGTTTAACCCCCACATCTCCATCCGTGGAAACGTCTGGGAAATTCCCAGATCACCATGGAAATTGTTGCTTAACTTCGATCCGCAGAAAGCTACAGTTCTGGGCAAGATTCGGCAGTTCTTTGGATAATTTATATAAGATAACAAACCCGTATATCATCAAACCATGATGGTTTGAAGATGGGATTATATGATTTGGGTCAAAACAAATTGCTTGGATGCTTAAACCAATAAATTCATCCATATGTAATATTTACATAATATTACATATACGAAAAAATATTTATATAAGATCATCCTATTTCTTTGCGGCTTTTCATGAGGAAAGTACCCAACCAAACCTGAGGAAACGGGCACTCTCCATCCTCCAGCGATGCTCGTGACCGCTTCCGCCATGTGTTCTGCCTCGCAACTGCTTTTTTTTCTCTTTGAGGCTCCACCCTGGAATTTCCGATGCTGGTTTCAAGATGCTGGGATTACCCTCTGGTTATTCAACATAGCCATGGAAAATGGCCCATAGAAATAGATGGTTTACCTATTAAACATTAAACATGGTGATTTTCCATGGCTATGTTAAATAACCAGATGGTATACAATGAAACTTTTCCGGCAGGGATATCAATGATATCAGAATCAATCCATGGCTTCTCTGAATTTTTTCAATGATAAGCCAACAGTTCTTTGAGCCTCCCCATAAGCTCTTGCTATGGTTGAATGGGATATCAGTGTGAACCTTTTTTGGGAAGTAACCAACTTGATATGATTTGGGATTACTCTGGTTATTTAACATAGCCATGGAAAATGGTTTACCTGTTAAAAATGGTGATTTTCCATGGCTATGTTAAATAACCAGATGGTAATACAGTTGATGGCAGTTTTGCTAACCGCCACGGAGATTTGTCCCCAACAACAACGGTTGGCATATCAGCTGTGAAAAAAGGGTGGAAATCACCACATATCACAGTGCGATACAGTTCAAACGAAGTCACACATAGGGTATCTCTTGATTTTCAGGCTATGTTTCTGATTCAGGATTTAATCCCGTGTTGTGTCACCGTTTCGAGGGCTCAATATGGCCCAACAAGAAGGTAACCATGTTAGAAAGCTGCACCGCACCCTTTGTGCGAAGACTGGACAATGAACAACCCCATCTTCTAGCACAATTAGATTCTTTTAGATTCTTTTAGATTCTTTTAGTTCTTCTGTCTTTTTGCCAGCGCCAGTCCACAGTACTCAGATTGTTGGAAAGCTAGCTCTGGTCCATCTGCTGTGTATTCCAGCGTGAAGGTTACGTGCAACACTCAACTCTGTTATTTCCATACGAAGTTCGCTCCAAGCGGAAAGCTCGTGTGATTTTTGCTGTGTCTTAAATCCCCTCTGAATTACGGCACAAGCTCAACCCCAATCGCTTCTTTCATCTAACTTGGGATTGAATAATTTTTCCGCATGAAACCTGCAGCGAATCTTTCCCAGCACCCCGCGAGCCTGCACACGGCCAGCAAAGGAAGCCTCCTGCGGCCGGGCATCACTCGGTATGGTGGTACAAAGTGGGTAAACCATCCATGTTGGGGGGATTGATAAGCTTGGTCATGTGTTTATCAAACCTAAAACATGTGTTCAAGGGTGTTCTCACAGTATTTTTCACCATCCATTTGTTGTGGGATAGATGATCTGCTAGATGCTAAGACCTATAGGTATAAAATGGTATAAATAGCATTGTTTTCGAGCCATGGCGCGATGGCCATCTGTGAAGTCAAAATATCTTGTTGAAGCCTGGCGATCGATGCGACGTCTGCTGGTGAACTCTCCTATCCTCGGTGACATGTGACATGTTGAGCCTCCTGCTTTGTTTCATTGAGAAATCCTGAATCCCGAGGGTCAAAGAAATTCCCTGTGGAACTATGGAATATCATCGAATATCATATATCATGAAGCACGAGATTCCATGACGTGCTCAGATTGATTGAACGGTGGAGAGTTCCATCAGGGTCCAGGATGGTCCATGCCATGTCCTTGTTCATCTTGTCAAAGAGCTTCAAGATGTCGGTCTTATTTGCAGGAACTTCCATGCTGTTCAGAATCTGCGTTACCTGAGGTCTTGCTTGGCCTTGTTGTCTGTTACTTACTCCGACTTCGATTACAGGGAAATTACTTGAAATGAAAAGTGAATTGACTCCCACTTCAAGCAAATTTTCAAGATGAAATGTGACACTCTGAGAAATTCACCGGAAGCCGGAGGAAAAGTCATAGAAGGGGTGGGAGAAACTTATCTATTGACACAGCTGTGGAGTGGTCCCGGCAACCAACCGACCAGGACAAATGAGCATACCCCCTGAACGCATCCGTTTCCTTCTACTGGAGTCGTGTAAATTAATACTTAGAAACGCCTGGATGGCTGCCATGTGCCTTGAGGCCTTGAATACAAGTCAATACATATCATATATCAGAGTTAACACCCCCAGTTCCAAATGTTTGGCCGAAAGCGGTTTCGCCGTTCCAAACTTCCTACCTCTTCCTACTCAACACCGGATGAAATTTCTCCAATCATGATGTGTTTCATCCCATGGCCATCATCCATGGCCAAGGGACAAACCCTTCCTGCACCGCCGCTTCCAATTCCTTGCGGTTGATGAAGCCTGGGAAGCTCCTAGCGCCCACGGCGCAAAAAACGGCCGAAACCAACGGTGGCCGCGGCGCGGAAAGCCGAGTGGTTTCACTCCCAACGTCCTCTTGCAACCGACAAAAGAATCGGAATTGGCAAATGATCAATCCTCACTTATTAGATCATTGATTTGTACATAAAGGATAAATCACTAATTAATTTGTATTAATATGTATTAGTCATTAATGATTCTAATATTATATAATTGTGTTGTATTATTAGACTACACTATACAACACAAGAAAATGCTTCAACTGAGGCATCCCAAAAGTCCCAAACAGCCATGGCAGTTTATCACCATATATATTTACATAATTCTATTTATATATATATATCATCATATACAGTATTTACGTCTATTTACCTACAAAACTGGCTCATTTATGGGGTACATTACATACCCTCTGGTAAACATACAAAAAACGATGGAAAATCACCATAGCTATAGTGGGTAAATCAACTATATATTTCTATGGCCATTTTCAATAGCTCTTTGTATGTTTACGCGCAAACACCCCGATTCGCCCACACCCCTTCTATGCTGTACACTTGGGGATATCAAACGTTAGACTTTACATTCAATTGGGAAGATCAACCAGGGTATTTAGGGAATATAAATTTCCCACCCCCGTTAAACTTCTACATTCATTGAAGATCTTCAATAAGGGTTTAATTCTCCCACCCCCGTTAAACTTCTACATTCATTGAAGATCTTCAATAAGGGTTTAATTCTCCCACCCCCGTTAAACTTCTACATTCATTGAAGATCTTCAATAAGGGTTTAATTCTCCCACCCCCGTTAAACTTCTACATTCATTGAAGATCTTCAATAAGGGTTTAATTCTCCCACCCCCGTTAAACTTCTGCATTCATTGAAGATCTTAAATATGGGTTTAATTCTCCCACCCCCGTTAAACTTCTACATTCATTGAAGATCTTCAATAAGGGTTTAATTCTCCCACCCCCGTTAAACTTCTACATTCATTGAAGATCTTCAATAAGGGTCTGATCATCATGATGATGATGATGATGACGATGACGATGATGATGTGTAAGAGACTCGCACAGGTCCCTATGCTGTGCATGCCGATATACAACATTAAGTTAGCCATGATGCAAAAAACTCCCATTTTTTACCACGTTTTCAGCACATACGAAGATGGCCGCCGACAAGCGTGGGCAAATCGAGGTGTTTGCCCGTATGTTTACCAGAGGGTAAATCTATTAGCATCTAATTGGTATTATTTGTAGTATCACCAACGATCATTTGTTATAATCCAATATCATTTTTCTTAAATCAGCATCTATTAATCATCGATTATCATCAAAAAATCTTCCTGGAGCAAACATGGCTATCGTCAGAAGCGCGGAAACCGCACCACGCCTCCCGTGTTCCGTGAAGAGCTTCCCCAGCTCCATAGCAGCAGCGTGTCGCCGGGCATCCCTTGCAGCCTCCTCGAAGAAGCAATGGCGATTTTGCTGGTGGGGAGAACCATGAGAAAACCCATGCATTTTTTAGTTAGTTAAACATAGTTAAACCATAGAACCATAGTTAAACCACGAATTCAAGAATTCTTAGAGATTTTGAAGAATAAGTTCAAGAATTCTTAGATATGTTTACACTTAAAATGTGTTGAATATTGTTGAACGAGCCATTTTTGGAGGGTTTGCGGTTCGAAAAAAAAAATCAGCCATGAAACTGTTGGCTACACTGATATTAGTTTCAGACATGGTATTGCATACAGGTTACCAGCATCATTCAAAACCGGATTCGAAACGACCTTTTTTTACAACCAGGCATCAAGAGCCTTGCAACAAGATGATATTGTCGTGGTGCAGTGATTCATCTTGCGGAGACTTTCGGACATCGACCAAATATCTACAGAGTAAAAAGCAGCCTGGAAACCAAATTGAATGCTAATTAATGCTAACAAATGTTAATGTAAATCAATAACAAACAAAATTAATTAGCTAATTAATTAATGCTAATTATTCCAGATTTTCTTTGCTGTCGCTATCTTCAAATTCCATCTTAAATTCAGGACTGTCAACATTCTGAACAACATGTGCCAGCAAAAACATGGTCTATGGTTTAAGGCAATCCATCCCATAATGGAACTCCTCGCAATGGCATGTATTTAATGGCTATATAATTCATCATTGATTATGGATTGATGAATGGATGATCATGCATTAATCATTGATTATGTAACTAATGTAATTTCTACTAATGGATCGACAACCATCCCCCAACAATGATATACAATCCAAATTCTTCACACTAAAACGGTATTTACATATATACATTCACACAGTTCAGACATGTTCTGGTTGGTGGTTTCAACCCCTCTGAAAAATATGAGTTCGTCAGTCGGGATGATGAAATTCCCAACTGAATGGACATTCAATTCCATGGTTCCAGTCACCACCAACCAGATCATCAATCTACGGCGAACCCCAAGGATCCCTACGTCTTTTGGGACCGTGTCGAGCACGGTGCGCGTGTCACGGTGCGGTCCTTGCTCTTCTGCTCCCGTTGCTGCGAGGCCATGAAGGAATCGCTGATGACGCTGGTGATCAAGCCGACCACCGCGAAGCAGCAAATCCTCAGTTGTGTCGTTTGGCAGCATGTCCCTGGGATGGAACTGCAGCTAAAATTCGTGGAAACCATAGTTAAACCATAGTTAAACGATAGTTAAACCACAGTTAAACCATAAATAAACCACATCTTCAGGAGTTCATAGTTCTTTTTGACTCTGTTTTAATGGAAAGTGATATGGGGATGGGGATGTAACTCCAACAACTGTGGCTAAACAATGACCTTTTTATGAGGATTATAATATAATATAATATTATATATATAGAGAAAAAAACAGAGATTTCATGGATTTTGTTAGGATTCCGGTCTTGCCGTTTTTTTGCCTTGCAACAACGTTCTTGGAGGATCCCAGCAGATGGATGGCACCATGAATTTGTGTCACAAGGATTCCTTAAGTTTTCCTGGGGGTCCTCTACATAAGCTATCAATTATATATAATAAATTAATATATATATGTATATATATATAATAATTATTTATATATATAATAATTATTTATATATATATATAAAATGTAATTCATTTATATGATAATATAAGCTTAATCATCCACATAGATCAATGATGCTAATCGTACTTTCCGTAGCGATGAATAGCTCGTCCTCCAAAGCTCCCAGGATGTACATCCTGGGTCATTTCTGCCCCGGTGAGCGGAATCGCGATTGGTTGGTGCGGTGCCAATAAGTCCAATTTCACTATGGTTTTTGTTGGTGATCTATCTATAGTTAATGGGATTAAAACCCATTTATAACTTAACAAAACTATTTGGTGGTATAAACCAACTTAGCTAACGAACTGGGGTAGAAATCAGCTAAGTTGGTTTCATGGAAATGATTGGTTGGTGGTTGAGCCCTACCCCTCTGAAAAAATATGAGTTCATCAGTTAGGGTTACTATTCCCAACTGAATGGAAAGTCATAAAATTCCATGGTTCCAGTCACCACCAACCAGCTATGGTTTATATATCTATAGTTAATGGGATTATAGCCCATTTATAACTGTGGGTGGCACTAGCTTGTGGTCATTTCTGCCAAAGTTCATCATGTAAAGCACCACCATTGGCACCACAACGCTGCTGGGATAGATCGTGCTGAGTGTAGTTGCAATGTGGTCCTCGGTAGGAAGACGTCTTTTTCATGTGAGCTGGGGGGGCTTCAAAAGAAAGTGAATCTCGGCAATTACTCTTTATGTAAATGGTTTCCAACATAGTATGTAACATGCATAGATAGAAACGCGGTTCTCCACTGCTTTCATGCATATACTTATTTACGTCTCGACTGGATCTTTTTGAAGACCTCATAACCTGGAAAAGAAACCACGAAGCTCACGAACTCAATCTAAAAATCACCGCACTGGGTACATCACCACTTTCTAGTACCATGCCATTGCTCGAGCAAGTGTGACCCCATCTTATTATTACATATTACCCTCTGGTAATTTAACGTAGCTATTGAAAATGGCCATTAATAGTGGATTTTCCCATTAAAAATGGTGATTTTCCATAGCTATGTTAGTTTACCAGAGGGTATTACATTGTTAGTACCGAAGCACCCACTGTCAAACCATCCCATGATTCGAGTGGGACCATCCATTTCTGTGCGCAGGCGTCCCATATTTTTTAAGTGACAGTGACAGACTTTTATTACTTGTCATGTCTCTTCAGCCCATTGTGTTGTAGAAAAACATGCTGGTTTACAATTGACCCATTTTTGAAAACACGGCTTTTTCCCAGAATCTGCTGATGATACGACCCCATGAATTCATTTACGCTCCACCACGTACGTCAAGTCCCGGAAACAATTAAGTCACACATTCACCCAAAATAGTGCTTATGAATGCTTACGAACTGAAGTGTATACATCCCCATACAGTTTGCTTTGGATCTTCTAGTACGTCAATGGAACTATCCCCTGGTTTATCTTCAGCTTCCCAATGAATAGTCGCAACACAAATTTCCATTTGGATGACCAAACCGCCACTTTCAGACACACCCAGCAGGTCCTTTTTAACGCTATGATATTGCAACTCCATACAGTTAGCCAAGTTGGTTTATAAGTCCAATAATTAACTAGGCTTCAGGGGGGTGTTATATCAATAGCTACCGGGGATTACACAGCAACTTATAACTGGGAGCTACCACACATTGCAATCCCCAGCATATTTACCCTCCGGTAAACTAACATAGCTATTGAACATGGCCATTTATAGTTGAATTTCCCATTGAAAATGATGATTTTCCAGTTCGCTATGTAAACGTTTACCAGTGGGTAACCCCCATGAAACAACTCCTTCAGACATCCAGCACATCCAGCCCGCCATTTTTTCGTCGTAGAATCCCAGCCCGCCAGCGTCTGGATGGTGAACAATGTCTGCATAGAGCGACCGATGGAACCAAACCATTCCACCACAGAGGCGCCCGAATTTTCATCTGCCAGCAACACTCCCCTGGCGGAAAAAACCAGGAGGATCCCGTTGGGACTTGGAGCAGTGCTACTGATTGGTAGATGCTTCAGAACCAATGGATATATACTGATACATGCTTATACAAACACAAATACAAATTATGTATGTATGTATGTATGTCTGTATGTATGTATGTCTGTATGTATGTATGTATGTCTGTATGTATGTATGTCTGTATGTATGTATGTATGTCTGTATGTATGTCTGTATGTATGTATGTATGTATGTATGTATGTCTGTCTGTGTATGTCTGTATGTATGTATGTAATGTCTATGTATGTATGTATGTATGTATGTATGTATGTCTGTATGTATGTATTTCTGTATGTTGTGTGTATGTATGTATGTATCTGTATGTATGTATGTCTGCTGTATGTGTAAATGTCTGTATGTATGTATGTCTGTATGTGTATGTATGTCTGTATGTCTGTATGTATGTATGTCTGTATGTCTGTATGTCTGTATGTATGTCTGTATGTACTGTATGTCTGTATGTCTGTATGTATGTATGTCTGTATGTCTGTATGTCTGTATGTCTGTATGTCTGTATGTCTGTATGTACGTATGTATGTAGGTAGGTACGTACGTACGTACGTACGTACGTATGTACGCAGGCATGCATGCATGTATGCATGTATATATCATGTATATATCATTATATATCAGATCATTCGATAAATCATATCTATCACCAAGTCATTTTTTTCATACCACTAGTAAACACATACCAATAGTGATGCACATAGACCAGGCCAGGCTAGAAACCAAGAGGGTATCCCTGCGCATGGAGCTTTCCATAGTCATGGGGGTACCCCTTTCTAGGTATCATCCATTTTTGAAAAGGATGGATTTTCAATGAATTCATGAATTTTCCAAGATGAATTTTCCATTAACAAAAAAAAACCTATGCATATTCAACCCGCCAAATACTGTATCACAGCTTTTGACCCACCCCACTGGCGCACAAGTGACAGTTGGGCAGGGCATTCTAGTGATTCTAGTGTGCAACAAATATATGGTCTGATCGTTTGTAATTTGGCGATGTTTGGCGTGACATGGCTTGACCAGAAATTGGATCGTTCAAGTTCCAATCGCAAGAACCCTTGGGTCTGTGGGAAGATGGTAGTGTGAGATGTGATCAAGACCAACGGCGCGAGGCAACACAAATTCACGATGCAAAATCATATTTTTGTTTCCTTGAAAGCCTTCTATGACTGTATCCAACATGCAGAATAGCCTGAAGATCTTCAAAATCCATCAAGATCCATCAAGTTTGCACCTGAATCTTGCTGTCTTAAGTATCTTCCAAGAGTTCTTTTGTACTTCGATGGTCCACGTGGACAATTGAAGGTATACTCTGGTGAAACTCTCGAAAAATGCTGGAGATTTTCCACTACTTCCCATCTTTTTTTCATACTCCCCGCTTGCTTTCTTTGTGAAATCCTTCATTATTTGCCTTGTCAACCAAAAAATGTTTGCTGATTTTCCAGCTCTCAAAATTTCATGGACATGTTCATCATTTTTCATCAAAAAAAATCGTCAGATATGGAAAATGTGCATCGCCATGCCTCTGACCAATGAGCGTTGTGAGAATGATGGACAAACCGAAGTTCAGAACGAGCACTACCTCACTGAATCAACGAAGAAACGACGAATGGGAGGCGGGCGTTCTGGAAATCACTTGGGATTCAGGGGATGAAACCACCCATTGGTTTAGCGCTATATATATATATAATATACTATATATATATACTGTATATATATATATATACTGTATATATATATAATGCCAACATCGGATTAATCACCCCCCCCCCCACCAGGTAGGTAGGGGGGTACCTTCTGGCTAGTTTCTTGACTACCCCTTAATAATAAGAAACTCTGAACCATAAAAATTTGGATATGGCTTACGTCAATTAGATCTTAATTGAATTCTATTGGATTTGTTAAAATCTCATGGATCAGAAAGGTGGTTGATTAATCGGGGGCAAACCATGGTTATTAATGGGGGACATGGGCTCATGGGGGGTACCCTTTGGGAGCTATCCAAACTGATGATTTTTATAAAGATTTTAATTAGAAATCGATCATTTGGGGAATAGTCATTTTTTGAATTTTTCAATGATCAACTTAAACCTTAAGTATAACAATGATGATTAAACAAAAAGGTAAAAACAAATTGGAAATAAATAGAATTGGAAATAAAAATTGTTGGATAATAATTTGATTTCAGCACAGGGGGTTGATTAATACCGCGGGTTTATTAATCCTGGGGGACCACCTCTTTTTAAATTACAAAAAAAACATTGGGCAGAGGGGGTTGATTAATACCGCGGGGATTATTAATCCTATGTTGGCATTACTGTATATATATATATATATATGGGTAAATTATATAAGTCACTAACCTGAAAATCTGAAACTTGCGGCTATCTTGGGGATTCCCCGAATCCTAACCATGATTGTAGTGAGGGAGAACAGTGAGGTCGTTATAATTTACCCAGATCTATTGTTGATTATGGACCAATGATGACCAATGAATGTCAGGACATTTGTCCTGAAACTGGAAGCAACCAATCATGAAGACTGCGATCTTTATCATGGGGCACGAATAAAAAACGTGCCCCATTAGGATTTAAACCATTGAGCCAAACTCGACCCGAAACCATCGTCACCATCGTCACCTGAGGGCCTTCTAGGCATCCCGGCCATCCCGACCAACATGACCACGGCAAAGGCTTTGATCACGCCACGGCCAACAATGCGCAAAGGTTGGCCTCGGGTTTTGTTACGTCAATCCCCAGTCAGCAAAAGGTTGTTGGGTTAAGACGGTTACCCTCTGGTAAACCGTTTACATAACTATGGAACGTCACAATGCTATTCATGGGAAAACTCACTATCTCTATGGCCATTTTCAATAGCTTTTTGTTTGTTTACCAGAGGTTAACCCCCATTTATAGTGGATTTACCCATTGAACATGGTGGATCTTTCCCATCAGTTTTTTGTTAACGTTTACCAGGCCGGGTATCCCAAAGGGGAGCGGCTCTACCAAGTCATGATCATCACTGGATGGTCATCCATCCTGGTCTGAGCTTCCCCACAAACCTGAAACAGTTTCAACAAGCGCAGCACGCGTAGCAAACGAAGGAAAGGCAGCACCTGCTGGTTGGATCATCAACATACCCTGCAAAACAATAGTTGGTGAGATCTGGGTAGCACTCTATATCTCTATATATCTATATATATGTGTATATATATATACTGTAATTATATGTAATTATATATTATTATGTGATAATATGGAAGTTTCCTAAACCGAGGGTACCCCCAAATCATCCAAAATTAGACCATCTTATTCTTGAAACCTATGGTTTTGGGGACACACCTTTTTAGGAACCCTCCCCAGGAAGGGCACAATATGTTTGTGAACATTTATCCAGTTTTAACATGTTTTAACGGTAAAAACCATTTACATCCCAATTTTGGGATGGTCAGATTTGCAGTCTGATAGATCTATGTAGATCTAGCAATCTAGCTGACACTGACATTTTCTGACTTGATGAAGCCCCCCACAAAAAGAAGCTCCAGCAAATTACCAAACTCACTACAATGTGAGGCCCCCAAGATAGCTAAGTTGGTTTATAACTCCAATAACTATGGTTTATGGTACTTATAACTATAGTTACTGGGGCTTATAAACCAACTTATAACTGGGGGGCCTCACATTGTAGAAAAGACAACCAAGCTAGCTGCAACCCGTGCACCGACATCCTTTCCACTTCAGCGTCCAGAATGAATGGCAAACTCAGATCCATGAGACCTGTGGTCACTACCTCAGCCGCTTTCGACGTTCGGACGTTCAAGATATGTCATCCAGCTTTCGACTAGTCGAAAACCATGGTAACTCAGAAGTACATGTTATATTTACATACCTAAAATGCAAACAAAGCTTCTAAACAAGCTTCCAAACAATTTTAACTTCAAACAGATCATCAAATCATTTGAATATATTTGGAACATGCCACATACTTCACCGAAAGGACCGAAAAAAACGATACAGCTGCTGTTTTTCGGTCCCAATCTTCCAATCTAAGCTCCCAACAGCCATGTCCAAAGGTGTCCATGCATATCTACCTCATCTAATTACTGGTTGGTGGTGCAATAACCATCTTGAAAAAAATTAGTCAGTTGGGCTGCTTTTTCCCATATATGAAATGGAAAATCAAAAATGATTGAAACCACCAACCAGTAATTATGTTGACTTCGGCGCGCAATTCGCAACTAGAATTTGGTGTATGATGCCAATGGCCAGCTTCAAAAATTGCCAGCAACACTGTGGACACCATCATCGCTGAACAAACAACACATTTGCAAACATCATTGGTACAGGCCTCATCTAGTAGAGAACACAAATCAAATCCCCGTCCTCAACTGGTGGATGTGAATCACATATCATATTGAATTAGAACCTATGATCATGATCACCGTCAGCAACCATCCGTTTATCAATTACATCCCCCCAAAAAAAACATTTGATGGTTACAACCCCGTTTTTTTGCCGACCATGGATGGTTAAAACATGAAAAAACATGGTGAAACTGCGCCGCGCCGGGCTCCCCAACAAAGGTAGTTCCGGCACCCCAGGTCGCACAATCTCAGGAGCATCTCACACCTCGAAGATCTGATGCCATGTGCTACCCGGGTCACTGAGACGTTGGATGACTGCCGGATGTGTCTTTAAAGGGGCTGTACCCACAGTTATGGCAATTTTCATAGGAACAATTCACCAATGGATTTAGAGTCTAGAGCTAGCCAATTTTCAGACAAAGCCATTCGTGCATTCATGAAACTTCGAAAAATCATGATACCATACGTTGTTTAGCTGTATATGAGGGTTTCCAGAACTGGGGGTACCCAAAATGGATGGTTTATAATGGAAAATACCATCTAAAAATGGATGATTTGGGGGTACTCCTATTTTAGGAAACCACCATAATTCACAAGAAACAATTGACCGTAAGCACTGGCGGCTCGGTCGGCCCCAGGAAAATTGGAGCCGATGTTTTTCGAACTACTCCACTGTGTCGATTAAGGCTATGGTAAACACACAAAAAGCTATTGAAAATGGCCATAGAAATAGTGAGTTTTCCCATGACAAATTGTGATTTCCAATAGTTATGTTAGTTTGCCAGAGGGTAAGGCTATGGAAGACATGTTACATGTTCGTTGCCGAAAACAGAGACCTGTTGTGAAACCCCAGTACACCTGACACCTGTACCTCAAAAATTGCCGTTTCCAGTAGGAACAGCCCTAAATCCCAACTTTTGAGATTCCATGTCAAAGTTCTCAAGAGTCTTAGTAAATGATACTGAGTTCATATTGCCAGTTGTTCAGTCATTATAATATCATGTTGTTATATCCCTTAAAGATTCCATTGTTTTTAAAAAATCATCAAAAAACATCAGGGAGGCATGGTTTGGTGGTCGAGATACCTCAGATCATTTCAGATCATTTCAGATCATTTCAGATCATTTCAGATCATTTCAGATCATCGGGGTCCCGGGGTGCCATGCAAGAAGAAGGCCACAAAGAAGTACTCGCAAATGGTGTATGCTGCAAACCTGGCCCCATTGTTGCAGAAAGCTGGCAGCTGAGTGCAGCTGAGTGCAGCTGAGTGCAGCTGATAGATCTTTGTTGATCAATAGCTTCATGGGTAGCTTCATGGATGGCTTCATGGACATTCCGAGATTCCTAATAACCCAACCATAAACATGTCTATTAATGATGGATATTGCTAAACCAAGAAGAATTAGGAAGATACACGGTAAATCTATTAGGTCCATTGATATCCATTGATGAGGTATTTCATGAACACACATGGTGATTTTTTTCACTATGAAACATGGACCATTGTGGTATTTCATGGGGCGATCATGGTCATTTCCCACCCCTCAGCTGACCATAGCTGACCTGCCTTAATTGTCCAGATCCTGTGGGCAACGCCAAGACATCGTTGATGGCCACGTCTTTGTGAAGAGTTGCCTGGGTCCACTTTTCGATGTTTTGAGGTTTTTAGATGTTTGATTGTGCCATGCTTGGAAACTTGATTCTCAACTCTGTGAATTCAAACATATTGAAACCTATTGAAAGCCAAAGGTAATTGGATGGTCAAACTCTAGTTCTGTAAGGATTTTCTATCAACCTATCCAGTCACAGCACGGTAGGATTTCAGCTCCGTCAACATTTAGAACCAATGGGCTTCGTAGGAGGGTAAGCGCATGAGCCAACGATGACCAGAAACGAACATATTCTCTTTTGAGCCATACATACCCTCTGGTAATTTAACGTAGCTATTGAAAATGGCAATTGAAAATTGAAATAGTGGATTTTCCCATTCAAGTTGTGATTTTCCATAGTTAGGTTAGCTTACCAGAGGGTATATCACGCGACACACCAATATTTATACTAAGTATTCACAATCTAGAATCTAGCCAAATTATCCACCACTGGTCCCTTCAAAAAAATGGGTACCAGGTAGCTATTTTGCTCAGTCAAGGAGGAGGCTGGGACAAAACATGGCGCAAACTGACCATCAATGGACGAACATAGCAGTGAGCACAGTGGAAATATCTTTGGAGTTCAAACACAATCATTCCATATCATTTCTACGAATTCAAAGCTCCTGACAACTTTCATGACATATTTTCCATGGCAATCATTCACAATCATTCTGGCTTCGGCCTTGACATTCCTAAGAATTCTTCAAGCTCCTGACATTCAGCTTCTCTTGCAAGCTATCCTCACGTTGCAGTGCTTGGCCGCTCGAGCCTTTCAGACCATGATTCAACAGGATAGACCCAATCTGTGGATGAGAAATTTAGTACCCAACATTTGGTCGCTCTTGATGCAATCAAATCAGGACATTTGCGATCATGCTGCTTGGCATGCATTTCCCATTTTTTCGTTACTTCAGTATAGTCAACAAAAACTTCCAGGAAGCGGTTGCGAACTTATTTTTAAATTTATAGTCTTAAATGGCCAACTGATCATCACAGGATGGCCAAGCCCAATGGTGTCACAACCATTCGCTCCAGTTGACACCTTCATCCACCGCCTGAATATTTAAGATCATGTATATATATATATACAAGTATAAGTATATCAGTCTGTTGCATCTGTCTTGTCAATATCATTTATAGGTAAAATATTGTCCCAAAAGAGTGATAATCACTACTAACATCCTACTAGAAGAGTGATTTCATCACTTTTCGGCATCTTGGGACAACAGCCCACAGAAACCAGCGAACACAGCTCGTCGCACCATTGGGTTGGTGAGAATCCAAACCAGAAAGCTACGACCCATTGGTTTTTGGGCCCCAAATCATAGAAGTCCCCGCAGATCTTCACCACTTCAGGAATCACATGAGAAACATCTGAGTTTCTCTCTAATATACGGAAAAAAAAGACAACGAAAAACCACTGGTTCATCATGTTCCCCCTTAAAATGGCAATTTTATGAATTTACTACAATGTGAGGCCCCCGTTCGATAGCGTTCAGTTGGTGCACATAACTCCCATTTCACGAACTGGTTTATGGTACGCAAATAACGAACTAGTTACTGGGGCGAATCTAAACCAACTTTGCTATCGAACGGGGGCCTCACATTGTATATATATATATATATGTGTGAATCATACTTCTACCATCTTATACCATATTATACCATCTTATATACCATATATTTTTACCATATTATATACCCCATAGGATCCATGTATGCTATATATGGTAACATTTACCATTCATATACCCCAGTCATGTTAGCATATACCAGCACCATGGATCCTATGGGTACCATATTATATACCATATTATATACCATATATGTTTACCATATTATACCCTCTGGTAATTTAACATAACTATGGAAAATCACCATTTTTCATGGGAAAATTCACTATAAATGGTGATTTTCAATAGCTATGTTAAATTACCATATTATAATGATATAGTATATATCCTTGATATCATATGGTAGGATATACATATACAAGATTATTTCATGAATATATATACCATATATCTTATATACCATATTATACCATGAATATCCGACTGATTTCGGCGCTCCTTGAGGCTCTGATCTCCGGTGATGCCACTTTTGATTTCGGACTCGATGCCTGGCGAGGGAAAAAAATCGGCCGTTGTGGCCGTTGCCCAACGTTGGTTCCATGGAGGTTCCAACCGAAGTTTCAACAGTTATGGCCCTTTACCAGTTATAAGTACTTATAACCCCATTTATAGAATATATAATCCCATTTATAACTAGTTATAATTGATAAATGGCCATAACTGAAGGTTGTAACCCTGGTTAATATTAATGTTAAATATGGGAAAGTAGTTCTGAAAAGTAATATCCATAATATCATATAATATCTATTAATATGGGATAGTAGTTCTGAAACACAATATCCATAGATGTGTAATTCGAAATCCACAGGTTAACCCGAAGAATGACTGGATACCAACGAAGCAGCGGAGTACCCTCTCATTGGAGTGGATGCTTGGCATGGGTGGAGCGCCAAAGATATCAGTTTTAATCAAAAACACTGGGACATCTATATAGCCATCAACAATGGCTGGTTGGTGGTATACCTACCCCTCTGAAAAATATGAGTTCGTCACTTGGGATGATTAGTCCCAATCTATGGAAAAATAGAAAATCTTCTAAACCACCAACCAGATGGGGATTTAACCAACCCAATGTGGATTGCTGGTTCATTTTCATAGGATATCATAGGTAAGTTGCAACTCGGCGAACCCTGGGGTTTCTGATGGATTTATCTGTAGTGATAGCAAAACCAAAGAACATCATGAGGGAAGGGGCAAACCTGACACCACAGTCGGCACCCTAAGTGTTATTTGACAAAAAGGCTAACCAAAAGCGCAAGGTTTGGCTGATCTTAGCTCGCTTGCCGAGTTGGGAGAATGGGAGAACACGGCGGAACTGTTACTTCACCGGAACATTGCTTCACCAACTATCGGCATAGCCCAACACTTGGAGGGTCAATCCTACCCTTCATGAGGGTATGGTCAAGAACAATTCTTGAACCCCAAAAAATGAATGTTCCAATGCTGCACATGACCATTTTTGTGGGTCCATCGGTAATGTTGGATTTAGATCAACATCAACTAATAGAACACATTAATTTGAGTGAAGGTTGGCAGGAAAATCATGGCTTTTACCACCAAGTCTACAGGAGTGGTTTCCTTCAAATTCCCCAAATTCAGGGACAAGAAAGAAAAGGATAGAACAGGTTCCTATATGGAGGTTTCCATAAATGGGGGTACCCCCAAATGATCCATTTATAGATGGATCCATTGGATCTTCCATTTTAGAATAGGATTTTCCATGAAAATAAAATGGAAAATCCATCTATTTTGGGAATCCATAGTCATGTAAAACCGTTTTTGCCTAGCTCCATGACTTTTAGGAAACAGGCCGCGGATCCCGACCATGTCCCACGCCGGGTGCGTGAACGCTCCGTAGGTCAGCCTGCAAGCCTGCCGCGCCCGCGCAGGTCATATGTATGTACCATCCGGTAAACAAAATTGGCAAGCTGGAAAATCCACCATTGATATGATACCTGATATTTTCGTATTACAACTTTTATATAAAGCATTATTTATACCGGTATTTCCCCTTGTCATGTTCCGCGAAGCTATTCGTCAATGCCAAGAATAGGATTTAAAAAAAACCCTCCAAAATAAAGTACACCAAATCCCGGTTCAGATAAATAACCAACACCCATAATAAAGTACGCCAACCGATTTTGTTTAACGTGTTTCTTTTTTTTCATTTGTTGCTTTCCGTTTTTTTTTGTCTTTTTGTGTCCCTTTGTCTTGCGTTTGTTTCTTTTTTTCTCATTCCTTGATTTTGTCTGCATTGATCGATTTGTTTTTTAAACAACGAATCCCAAAAAAGGCGCCATTATAAAAAGCACAGTGTCAACATTAGGCTGACATAGGGTCAAAAAAAAGGTAGCGTTCAGTCGCATCATTCACACTTATGTCCATGACTTTCCTTCCAAATCCGTCACAACTTATTACAATTTGATTTGGATTTGTCCGAACACATGGTATTTCAATGTATTTCATTCCATCCCACGACTTAAGCAAACATGTTCCGTATGTTAACATGGCAATTCAGGGTTGTACTACTATGTTGTACCCGTAACGAATAAGAACACTACTCATTCACATGTACGTCTAATCTTCTATGACTTTGCTTGAACAAAAATGATTTGATTTTCTTCTGCCCATCCAGTAAATCAATAAAGGTATGGAAATCCATATTCTTCCCGCCCTCAAAATACACAACCTCAGATGAAGGGATAAAATGTTGCGCCCTGCCCCCCAAAATTTGTCTACATGAGGGCTTTTGCAACAGGATTAGCACAATGCGGTGCTTGAAGTTCAAAATCAAGATTTCAGACACTCCAGAAATTCATAATCTTCAAATTCTCAGGGACTCTACACGCATCCAAAAACTCAAAATCAAAATCTCAAAGACTCCACACACCCAGAAACTCAAAATCAATCAAGATCGGAGACTCTACAAACCTACACTGCACACAGATACGCGTCGCTTTGAGATGCACGGAGTGTTTAAGTCTAAGTTTGAGGTTGGGGTGGTATGTAAATCATTAATGTTCTACACATGTCTAAAGTTTTTTTTAAAGGTCAAGTTGAAAGAAGTAGAGTTCAGAGTCAAAAAACATGGGAGACATTTTTGCTAGCCCTTCTGATAATCTACATTTCTGCTGTTCTTCAAATCTCTGTCTTCACTGACTAGGAGTGTAATCTTTTCATGTCATCTTTTAATATCTATCTTAATCTACTGCAGTGTAATCCAACAGAAAACTCCCAACAGAACATCCTCCACAACAAACAACCAGCAACCAACGAGCGCCCAAGAACTTGCCGCGGCCACCGCGCGCGACCGCGCCTGTCCAGGTGGGTCCAGCAGGTCCCAGGAGTCCCAAATCGGCTTCGATGCCCATGAGGATAGCGTTGGCACAAACCACCAGACCCACGATGAAGTTGAAGATGCTGCCGCGAGTGCTTAAGCAGCGCGGCCTTGGATGTTTTTTGACTGATGGATGGCGATGCTGACGATGGATGGCGATGAAAGATGGGATGGGATGGTGGCGCTAATTATAGATGGCGATGGGATGTAGATATAGCTTTTCTGCCAATGAACCTGCATGTTTGGGGTCTTGAAAAAGAACTTGTCTGGACATGTTCGAAAGTAACTATAAAGGACACTCTTGCGAAATTAACATCCTATTAATCAATTTGTGTAACCCTAATTAGTTCAGCTCTGAAAATCAGTTGCATGGCCCACTTCAAGTAGCAAATCAGTTGATCAGCTATGCAACTCAAGTACGCCGACTTCGACAAGGATTTTTGGATATTTACATGCATGTAATTATATAGAATGTCGACCTGCAGTCAATACAATGGCCCTTTGTGACAGAATCTCTTGGACACCGTTAACCGTGACTGTTGGCCGAAGCAATCCACTCAAACCTTCCAGCCGAGAGGCTCTTCATAGGCCATCCCATCGAAATATTCGCTCGTTGGGATGGGTTGGTACATGGTGTTTTCGATCAACGCCACACCGGACCTCATCAAGATTCATCAAGCTTCAACTTACCTTCCAACAATCAAACATGCCAATGGGACATCTCCATATGGAGTTTTTCATGGGGAAATGATCTCTAAATGGTGGATTTTCCATCTAGCCCCAGCTAGCCATGTCTGATTGTCGGAGGCTTCGGGTTGCTGATTTGCTACAGATCTATCAAAGCTTCAGCATGCCAAAGTCAAAACTAGAATCACTTTCAGCTGCATCAAACTCGGAGGTCTTTCTACAGATTTCTGGCACCGCCCCAGTTTTTGCAGATCAAATCCCATTCTGGAGCCCGGTGTTCATTGGCGACATACCTTTTTGATGGGTTTCAACCCAATTTGTTGCAATGATGTTTGTTGCTTCTATCCGAAATTTTAGCGACGATAACGCAGCATTATCCCATTATTTTCTTGGAGTTCCCAATTGTTGCTAGTTCAATTCCATCCCAGAAACAAAAAAAACGCAGCTGGGAATGGGTCAAAACCATTCAACACCTAGAAAACAACACTTCAAGCTGAGACCCCCTAGATAGCCAAGTTGCCTTGTAACTTGGTTGACAGTGCTTTGTGGGGGATATAACATATATAACTAGGTCTCAGAAACCAAGTTATAATTCACAGAAGAGGGCCTTGTAATTGAAAGCCTGCCTTAAAATGAAATACATGGATTTATAATGGAAGGATTTTACATGATTTTACCATCCAAAAAATGTTTTTTTTCTTTAACAAACCTCGAGAAAAATCCAGCTATTTTGCTGTGAACACAAGGTCCGCCGGGCCGGGTCTTGGTGCCCCAAACGATGGGGGTCCTGGTGACCCTTCCGATTCCGTATGTTGCGCGAAGCGGCCCAATCTCAGTGAGGATATGCACTGTATGATTTTCTGCTTCATGTTCTACCATGTCTGAAAACCAATAGTAGGATTATAGGATTGACACAAAAAAAACAAATTGGTGATATGTAAATCATTATTCTATCTTTTGTTAATAGCAACGGAGTCTTGTCAATTGTTTTGTTTAACAGTTTCACAGAAAGAGCATATCGCCCAATTAGATTTGAATCCTGCGCTTTAAGAGGAAAGTAAAACCATCACGATCAGTACATGTAAATACCCTTGCGCTCCAGTAATCAAACATTGCTTGCTGGGACATCCTCCCCATTAAAAAAGCTGATTTTCTCAGCTATAAACAGCGATTTATAGGGGATTTCCCTGCTTGTAGCAGTGTTCAAAACCGCAACGTCGATAACGGCGTCCCTTTATTATACTGGCCTGTTAACAGGTTTTTCCACAATGGATTGTGATGTTTGCCTAATTTTCCAATCTTTCTTGGGGGTAGTATGTGATGTAATTATATGGTAGTATAATCCCTAGCAGCCAACAGTGGTTTAGCAGCTCATCTTTGTTTACTGGCTATCAACAGGTATGATACGTCCCCAATGGATGAGTGGGAAGATCCTGGCAAAATGCCATGGTTTTATCATCCCTCCCCCCAAAAAAAACGTGTGAAGTTTATCTTACCCCAATGAATCGATCATCACAAGTTATATATCATCATTCCCAAGATATCCCAAGATAACACAAAAGGGATGGGAATGATGATAAAATCGGATGATCAATGGGAGTGATATTGCTATGATGTTGCTATAGTACTGCTATAGATCCCAATTCATCATTTCTCAAAGATATCCCTTTCCCAACTCGTGGTATGGGATAGCTGCCATCTGAGGGAATGGCCCCTGCATCAGCACGACAAGCTACGCCTGGGATCAAAGTTCAGTGGAGATGACGCTTGGACCAATTCACTTTTCACAAACTTCAAACACATGCCCTGCAATGCTATATACCTATTAGTTATATATATATATATATACTTACATAATTAATATATACATATCATAGTTTTATATACTTGTATGCATCATTGTAGGTATTGTCCGCTTTATACTGCATATATGCAGTATATCATGTATGATGATGTATGTACTCTCTGGTGAATTAACACTTCGCCATAGAAAATCCACCCATTTTTATAGCTAGGTAAACCATCTATTTCTATGGGCCATGGCTTAACCATGGCGAACTGTTAGTCATAACCAGAGTGATGCACTCCCCCGGCTAGTCGCTCCGATCCCACGCGCTCAGCCTGATCTGATCGCATCCACCCGGGGGAAGCGAAGCAGGGCCGGAGGTGGTTTGAGCCGTCGCGGCTTTGGCTCACAGAGAAGCAATGCGGAAGCATCAGAACCTCCGAGATATGACATGAAGCAGAATAACTATATATACATAACTATATATAACTATATATATAACTATATATACATATAACTATAACTATAACTATATATATAACAACTATATATATATAATATAACTATAAATATGTGTAAGTAACCATGAGTATAATGACTATAAATGTTAGTTGTGGAATGGTGTGGATCAATTATGAGTATAAATAATATCAAATACTCATATTTGATGTTGGTTGCTCGTGGATCCAGAATAAATCAATAAAATTACAACGTAAATAATCGTATTGCTACTATATCCAAGCCTCGCCATTCAAGGTTCCATCAGCAATTTTTTGTGACCACTAGACTCGGGGGTCTGTGATTGGCTGTCTGAAAATAACGTCCCCCAAATTTATGGTTTATCAGTCATATTTTCCCTATTAAAAATTGCTCTTTTATTGGGAATATCCACCGTTTTTAGACCTATGTGTTTTTCCCTAAGAGTGACCATTTTCCTTCTATACACCCCTTATTTTGAACAAACCCCACAGCAACATTGCGCTACGGTGATCAGAGGAATCCAAGAATCCAAGAATCCAAGAATCTCCAAGCAAAACCAATCGGAGATGCTGGCAGTGGGGAATCCAGGCATGATTGGTACATACTGGTATCGCTAGGCAACCCCATATATAATGGGATGGATGACTGTGACAAATGCAGCTTGGGTGAAGATTAAAGTGTTCCTACACTCGATTGGATAGTGGATGCTACAAACGCACTTCAAGACATTTATCAAAACGATAGGTGGATTTCCGGGTCTGTCAATATAGCTCTTTGGAGTCTGATATGATTGTTTTGAGCAAACAACAGTTTTGAAATCGCAAAGACCTGAAACGTGTTCTATAATGTACCTTTTTTGGGGATTCCACAGAAATTAGCATTAATTTCTATGATTTCTATTGATTTCTATGGTGACCTCAGTGTTGAGTTGCTCCAATTTTCCCCTTTTCAACACCCGAGTTTCGCCCTTTTCGTCGCTGGTAACGCAACTTTTTTGGGTCACACGGAGTCACAGGAGCCCTTTGACCTCAAGCCCGCAGGGTTTGACTCCGAGTTTTGGGGGATGTAGGGTGGTGCCCCAGTTAGTTAGCCAAGTTGGTTTATAAGTCCAATAACTATGGTTTTTGTTGGTGATATATCGAACTAGTTAATGGGATTATACAGAAACCCATTTATAACTGGTGGAGGCACCACCTTGTGCCTTTCTTTCGGGGCATGGACAATTCGGATCGCAGGAAGGGATTGAGTCTGCCATGAACATCAACCAATCCATTTTCCGATTTCGATTTTCCCTTAATTTTCCCTTAATTAAACCGTCATAAACCATAATCAGTCAATGGATTGGTGATTTTTTTTGGGGAACATCGAAACCGGAAACCATAGATGTTCCCACCAAAAAACCTGGGGTTCTCCTGCAAACTTTCCCATCAGAAATCCATTGAATTCACAAGGCTGGCACCATCACTGCCAGGCGCTGCGAAATTTGCAGCGCCATGTCCTGAAGTGGACGGGTTGGAAGACAAAAATAGGAAGTCTTGAGAGTTGGTGTCGCCCCTCAGAGCCTACATATGTGAACATATGTGACACATATATCATATTATATATATATATATGATATAATTGATATATATATATATATATGATATTATATGATATAACTGATATGATATAATATGTATATATAATGATATATATATAATTATATATATAGACATATCATCTCTTATGAATGGGCCAATAATTTATGGAACAAATCCCATACCCTTACCATCCCTTACCATCATATTACTATCGATGGTTCTGGTGTGCCCCGTACCCCCTATGAAAGCCCAATGATTGGTGCCTAACACCATATTTCCATATCCCGAGTCCTCTGCCCAACCAGTCCCCCCGGTTCCACAAGACTTGGGTACCCAACCCACTCAGAGCTTTCATTGCAGGCTTTTAAGGCTGCCTTGGACCAAGATGGACATGCCTGAAAGCATGCTGAAACTCAACATCTGGGTTTCTCCAAAATTAGGGCCTACCATTTGAATCATTTGAATGATGAACACTGATGATCAACCATTATTTTTGTTGGGAATTCACCATTTTGAGACAAACCCATGATTAATTCAATCCCGTCTCATGCAACAGCTCTAGATCTGAAAAATCCATCGCTTTTGCCCTTTCAGCCACCACAACCAGACATCATTTTGCTCCAGATGTCGGCTTTAAGGAGGCCACTTGCAAGTCGATGAGACTTGGCCTGGTGGATTCCAAGCCTCAACGACTCATCGCACGGATCGGCGATTCACCAAGGCGAAATCACAACGACTTGCGACTTGCGGCGTGGCCGTTGTTGTGAATCTCGTGTAAACAATAGGTAAACAATAGGTAAACAATAGGTAAACAATAGGTAAACATAGGTGAAACCACTTTTGTAATATTTAACAAAAAACTTGGGATGATTTATATAGATATAACACATTTCTATCCAACTCTGGCAAAATGATCTAAACATGGTGATAGCATGGGAGCTGGGTAAATTATGATGAACCTGAAACAATGATATATTGGAATAGTTATCCTTACTAACCATCATTCCAGTGACGTCGCGGTGAGGTCGTTATAGTTTATCCAGAAATATCCAGAATTACTGTATATGGGTTTGACAGGGTACTCTCAGTAGTAGAACTGAAAAAAATGTATTCCCACAATATTTCCATATGTTCCCACAATATCTCCATATTCCAACAGTATCTCCTTTTCATCTTACATTACCATTACCCATGGTAAATCACCATCGCAAATCGCAACATCGCAAATCTGCAAAAATGGATTGATGACCATCCAGTAGCCCTGTCATCCCATGCCACCCAACACATGGTGATTTCTATGGGGATTTAGTGGGTTACTATATGGGATTTAGTAGGGATATAGTAACATATAGTAACCATCTATGGTCATATGTAATCCCATCCTCCCAGTATATGGGAGCACCCACATGAGCAATGGCCCCAAATATCAAATAGTGGTTTTATCCTACGAAACCATGGGTTTTCTCTGGGGGTGTCATGGTTATATTGGGCGACCATAGGCGGATGGGACGATGGTAGTTTCACAATGAATCAACCTCAATGACTCAATGATTCATCATTTTCTTCCGTAGTCAAACCATGTCAAACCTCAATCATTATCTTGGCAAAACGGTTCAACCGTGATTTGGAGCTGTCTCAAAAGAACAAATCCAACGGTTCAAGGCATTATTTTCCATGAACAACAACGTACTGTGATTAAGACCAAACTCAATTGTCTGTTCATTTCATTTTTCCAGCCAAACATGGCCAAACTATTCATTAACACTGAGTTTTGCCTTTGTTGGGTCTCCCGCATTTTTTTGACAACCTCGATCTTTCCAGGCAATTCTGGGTTCCAAACCCTCCACCATGGAGAGTGCCTGGACAGCGGGTGGGATGCGACGTCAGCAGGAAAACTGATGGTAAATTTCACAAAGCGGGAGATATGGATCCAATCCACAATGATCGTGATGACAGTGATGACAGTGATGACAATGATGATGATGATGATGATGGTGGTGGTGGTGGCGGTGGTGATGATGGTGATGCTGGTGATGATGGTGATGATGATGATGATGATGGTGGTGGTGGTGGCGGTGGTGATGATGGTGATGCTGGTGATGATGGTGATGATGATGATGATGATGATGGTAGTGATGATAGTGATGATGGTGATGATGGTGATGATGGTGATGATGGTGATGATGGTGATGATTGTGGTGACAGTGATGATCGTGATGACAGTGATGGCAGTGATGACAGTGATGGCGATGATGATGATGATGATGATGATGATGGTGATGATGATGATGATGATGATGATTATGATGGTGATGGTGGTGGTGGTGGTGATGGTGACAATGGTCATGATCGTGATGACAGTGATGACAGTGATGACAGTGATGACAGTTATGACAGTGATGGCAGTGATGCCAGTGATAAGGATGATGATGATGATGATGATGACGGTGATGATGATGACGGTGATGATGATGATGACGACGACGGCGACGATGATGATGTTGATTATGATTATGATGATGATAATGGTGATGATGGTGATGGTGATGGTGATGATGATGCAGATGGAACTGATGCCAGAATTCTCAACAGTAATCACTAAACTTGCAAGATTTTCACCAAATTCCTGTATAATAAATGTGACTTTCCACTTTGCTAGTGGGCGTCCTACCCTATGTAAGCAGTATTGAAGCCATACTGTGGCTGGCCTTACTGGCTGGTTGATAGTGATTGCTGTGGCTTTTAATCATGAAAACCCATCTGGATTTTGTGTCACTGCTCCAGATCTCTCAGGAAAAATGTTTGAGAAAGGGGTATGTTACATGGGTAAACCAGGGTATACCACCCCATTTTGGCGAGAGAAGTTCCGAACATGATAATGAATCGATTGGAATTGAAGATATAAGTGGTGTTCCCATGTTCACTTTTCTTAATTTTCACTGCAAACAAAAACATGTTTCCCCCTAGTGTTTTCCCAGAAAGCCATGTTTTACTGAAGAACTTACCACTTCCTCCGGAAAAAATCTCGCGAAATCCCCACCTGCGGCGAAACGCGAGCTCGTCTTGAGCGCAACGTCTCGGCGAGATATGATCCTAGTTTCCCTTGGGACACAGATCATCTCTGGTTGGTGGTTTCGGCCCCTCTGAAAAATATTAGTCAGTTGGGAAGGATTATCCCATATGTTATGGAAAAATAAAAAAAATGTTCCAAACCACCAACCAGTAGAGATACGGTGGAAGGGTGCGAAATCCTGCACCAGTTGTTTCAACGGTGGTAAAGATCCCATTGCTTTGTTGGGGTTGAAAACCATCCGGTTGGTGATGCAGGATTTCGCAACCATCCACAGTGTGATATGACATAGCTATATAGAACATACTGATATAATCCAGATGACTATAATATAAACAGTATCCATGGGGAGTTCTGGAGTCATGGGGGTACTCCCCAGTCGTCACCATGGTTGTTTCAATACCAGTCGTCATGGTCGTTCATGGCTGGATGGTTCGGGGGGTACCCCCATGGATTGGAAACCTCCAATCCATATGGTCTAAATCAACGGGATGAAAAAAATACCAAGAGAAACATAGCAGAAAATGGTAGGATGAATTCCAACTGACATGGTGAATCAATGGCAGAAATAAAAAATCGACATGGTAGATATGGAAGGTAAATAAAACCGTCACTGCAAAAAATGTGGCATGGTGACCTTTTTTTGGTTTCCCCATGGAATTTGCATGGATTTGGTGCTACAAATGTACAAAAAACAACCATAGGTCAACCATAGTTAACTGCTATTAATCCCTATTAATCCTAAAAAACAATATAATATGTATAATTGTTGCGGTGCCATGGATCCAATGGGATAACTGGATAGCACCGCTGCACCAATACGGTTCTGCATGGCCGTGATACCATCGATATTGTATGGCATGCGGAGCCACCAATCACATTAGGATTAAAAAAGGTGTACATCTAAAATCCATCTCGCCCATCGGTCGATATATAGAAGGTCCCCGTTTACAGCATGTTTACCCAAGCTACAAAAAATGTAAAAACCGTCAACTTTTCAGAACTGGATGTGAATCTCACACGCGGGACCAGGATAAACCTGAACGATGTACCAGTGAGCATCATGAATGACTGGATATTCCATGTGAATACTGCCATTAGTTTTGATATTAACACCAGTACATGTTACTCCCCAATTCCATGTCAATAACAACTTATTCTGGTATATTTTGGTTATTTGATGTTATATTCGGTTATTACTATAATTTCATATTCTGGTAATTCGGTCTTGGTCACCATGCTTATGGTGACTTCGTATGGTGATTGACACCTGAAGTGACGCCCTTAGCTGCCCTGCTTCAGCCACTTGTCGAGCACGTGCCATCCGGAAGGCATCAACTTGGTATCCGAAAACGGTCTGGCCCATATTTCAATATTGTATCATGGGCGTAAAGTGTTTCACCGCCCCCCAGCCAGTGTTTTCAAGTATTCTATATGTGCACGTTTCAGAGATGCTGTGCACGTTTCACAGAAGCTGTGCACTTTTCACAAGCCCCCTAGTAATGTTTGTGTTCAACTGCATTGGGGCGACCAAACATGTTCTCCCGTGTATCATATATATACGTATATATATATATATTTTTTATAATGATGCTTTATGGTTCATGATGAGTTATATGGCCCAAGAATTGTGTGAACCATCCAACTACCGATCAACCATATAAACTGGGTGAGAAATTCGACCAGTTCGAAAAATATTAAGCAAATGGGTGGTTTTGGGTGGTTTGACCTTGGTTTCTTTCCTCTTTGCTTCAAGCAATGCCGCTCTTTTTCTCGTTTGTTGGTTGCTTGCAGGTCTGCTCCAGGCTCGGCTCCAGCGCGACATCACCTGCCAAACAAATGCAGACAGGCTCAAAGATAAAAGATTCTAGACAGTTACATGTGACAATCAATTAATAGCATTCGCAATGTGGCAATGCATTTTCCTTTTCCATTTTTGTCGCTGCACACCAACCCCATTGTCCCCAATCCCCAATGTTCGAACAGCAATGATGCAGCTGCTGCTTCGCTCTGAAGATGCATTTGAAACTTGAACCTTGGACAATGGACCCTGCTGGACCCAAAAGATTTACGAAGCAGCAGTTGAAACCCGTTAAGACTGACCTGCAGCAACTGGCTGGTCTACTCCCGCCCCTTTCAAAATTCTAGAACATGGCTTTGGATGACAAGCGCTCAGATTGACATCACTGATGTGAGCTACCATGGCAAGGCGGTTCTTCAGCATAGAGAACGTGCCAGGCAGGTGCTGACGTGGTGTCTGTTGCTTGAAAAATGGAAAACCCACACACCATTCGTCAATTGTTGTTTTCAAACCGCTGCTACTTCCCCAAATCTTGCATGTTCGACCCGCGATCAAAGGAACGCCAGTGGCAACTTCAAAAACAACAAACCCAAAAACGCCAAATATCAACACCAACAGTAAGAAACTTTGCAATTGGGCCACTGCGATTCCAGAGCTCTGGTGGGAAATAGGGCTGGGTTACACAAGTTTGAAAACGCGGCACAAAGTCGTCCTTGATTGCCTCAGCCATGCCCATGACAATCAGCTGCAACTGCGCTAGCTCGCGGCACCAGAGCACATTCGATGGCTTCAAATCAAGGTGCAGGATCCTTGCATGCTTGTGCAGGACCATCAATTCAAGCTCAAGCTGCCGAATGGCTGCAGACACAGTGTCCCTCTCAAACCGCTCACTTGACTGCAAGCACCGTGCCAAGGTCAAGCCACCAAAAGACAATGACATCCATGGAAATGGCTGCCCCTTGCAATCCGAAGCCAGCAGTTTCGGGAACCGTTCCCGATCGCAATCTTTCAGCTCCTACAGGGATTGGTATAGCATGACTTCATGCTCAGCCTCTGCAAAGGCATCTCTGCCACAAAAGACTTTCACAGCATGCAGGCGTCCACACCCACCACGGGCAATGAATACTTTTCCATAGGGGCCTTGGCCAGCAACAGCGCTGAAGCCATTGTGTCCTGACTTCTTCACCTTGTAAGGACCCAGCCAAAATTCGTTGGATTGGTCATTGCCAGACACAGGGGCATTGGACACCTTCCCCCTTGTCATTGCTTCTCTTCTCCCGAGCAGACATGACTGCTTGCCTTTGAGCCTCAAACTCTGCCATGCTGCGTTCATTGTACTGTGCCTGTTGACTTGGTGCAAGTCTTTTCCAAGCCTTTCAGCTCAACCTGGTATTGAGATTTTGCGGCGCCTGGCCTCACCAAACTGTTTTCCATCAGATAGAGGGACAAAGGCTTGCGAGCCTTTGGGGCCAAGCCAGATCGAACAGCTTCGCCCCGAAATGTGCGGGACTTGCTGACCTTGGGCCGGCGCGGCACCCTAGTCTTGCAGCGCAGGCGGGTCTTTGGAAGCGAGTCACGCCACACAGCCATTGCCAGACTAAACGCCAAGCTTGAAACAGGAGCTTGGACTTTGGACCTGGGACCTTGGACCACAATGACTGGAAGGAAGTGATGTAATCATGGGATTACCTTGTGACACGCTCACTTGCAAGGCAGTGCTAGATGGTATCACTTAAAATGAATGTGCCACTCTCGTGGCATGCTTGCAACTGTGCACCCTTGAAATTGGGAATGAGCACCCTTCATCTCGCAAAAAGCAAAAGAAAAGTGATTTAAAGGGCGCGCAAGCTGTTTTCGAAGGGTCCACCGCGCTCGTTGCGATGTTGGCTGCAAGTGCTACATGCTTGCAGGGCTTTCCTCGGAGTGAACAAAGCTACCCACAGCAAAACTGGCAGCACCAAGCTGCAGGACCAAATGCCTGTCAGGTAAGCCATTGGTCAACTCAATTAAAAGTGTGACATTTGTGGCTTTCAACTTGTGGCATCATCTCCTAAAAACGAAATAAACTCGAACTTTGAACGTTCTCCTCAATGAAAAAAATGACCTGCGCAAACGGGCACCTCTGTGGCTGAGGCATCAGCCGGTCACCCAAGTGCAGCCACACCGTAAAGCAATGCCAGGCAGAGTTCGGCCTCATCACGGGCACCAAGAACAAAGAAAAGGAAGGGATTGAACACGGCCACGCAAAGTTGTGCCAATGCAAAAACAGCCTTTACCAGACATGTTGATTTGAGGCCCAAGCCGTGGGAGAAACTGGGGAATAGGCGCAGGGCAAGTCACTACTTATGTTGACCCTGGACCTTGTGCAGTTTGCGAGGCCAGCCAGAAAGTTGCATATGCAGTGGATAAGAAAAAACAGCAAAAAATAAAAATGTTCGAATTTCTCACGTAGTAAACCATATTATATGATGATTAAAACATACGTTGGTTTATAGATGGATGGTTCACTCCACATGGTTTATAGATATTATAAGTCTATGATTAATGTAACCATCCCCCAGTCATCACCATTTTTATAGGTGGTATAAACAAAAAAAACATTCCAGTTGTAAGTATTTAGATTTAACCACATATTCACATCATTAACCCATATTCACCTATTGGTTTATAGATAAGTTTGTAATTATGTACAATGTGAGGCCCCCAAGATAACTAAGTTGGTGCAAATAACTCCAATTTCACTATGGTTTATGGTACTTATTACGAACTAGTTACTGGGGCGAATCTAAACCAACTAACATCACTGGGGGGCCTCACATTGTATATATGTATATATGTACATAGCTATTGAAAATGGTGATTTATAGTGGATTTTCCTATTAAAAATGGTGATTTTCCATAGTTTTTTGTATGTTTACCACAGTGTAAACCATATCAACCATCCATCCTGGGTCGCCCCCAACGATGCCCAGAGTCCAGGGAGTCGACATCGATGCAACGCGCAAAGCCAAGCACCTGAAATTCGTGCGAAGGCTGCGCGGGAAACCGCCGTTCTTCGGGGGACATTCCCTGGAAACCACAGGAAAACCATAGGAAAACCACAGGAAAACCATAGGAAAAATGGTGTTTTCAGCCAAAAATCCAGATTTAGAGCTGATTTGATTGCGAAGTTGATGCACATACCTTGCTTGACGTTTGAATTTACGGGGGATCTAGGATGTATAGAGAATGGATGCTGGGTTATAAACCAAGTTATAAAAGCCAGCCTGGGGTCAACATACAAAAAGATGCGGAAACGCGGAAACACCCATGGAACATGATAAACATTGATAAACACATCTCTGGTGGCTTTTCCACATGGCAATGTTTACAGGGTACCCAAGCTTGACCAACTTGATGCTTCTCCGGCTCCTGATGGGTTTAAATTTAGGCCGATGCCTCGATGGCTTGAAAAATGGCTTTTCGGCCATGGCCCCTGGAGACCGTTCCATGTCTCTTTAAACATGTGGCAGTGTGTCAAAACCAATAGTACCCCTTCTGTTCACATCAAAATAGCTGGTAAATAAATGGATGTGAATAACCCCCTAAAAATTGTATTTTTATAGGTATTGATCCATAGCCATGTTTCCGGAACGGTTTTTCTCCTTACTTGTGATTGCCACAGAAGGGTTTCTCGGATGACGGCCATGGCATGTTGGGAGAATTTTCGACAATTGGGCCTACCGTGGGACCACAGAAGATGTTCCGCAAAGATCAAGGATATATAAGGATATTAGATGATATTCTGGTTGGTGGTTGACCTACCCCTCTGAAAAATATGAAAGTCAGTCGGGATTTTTGTTCCCAATATATGGAAAATCCTAAAATTCATGTTCCAAACCACCAGATATTAGTTACATTTAGTTACTGTTAGTTCAATGATGACTCCTTCATTTCCATGTTCAACTTTTCGGAATCAAAAAATGGAGGATGATCCAACAGAAGCGTAGCTGGTTACCTGCTGCACGTTGACCTGAGAGTTGTGACATTTCATCAATTGGTCGGGGTCCGGCGCCTGCTTCCAAAGGCTAGGTCGCTGTGCAAAGACTCCCAAGGCACTGTTGAAGGAACTCCGTTGCAGCCTGAATCGAAGGAGTTTTCGTTTTGCTGTTGCTTTGAGCAGCTTTCGACAAATTGTGGTCACCGAATAGACCTAATACATCCTATAAACTGGCTGCTGATGGTTAGCCAACCAATTTTGCTTTCATCGTTAGCAACGATGGATGGTTTGCCCCGGTGGAGCGTTGACGTCTCCCTCTCCAGAGGCCTTTTGAGGCCACAGCGTCGCTTTGATTCACAGGTGACAAGACTTGGGGGTTGGGTACCATGTGGTGCTTCGAAAAACATGGGATGCCAATGGGAGTTGAGTTGATGGGATAGCCTGGGATATTCATGGGATATTCGCTCATGGGATCGTGGGAATAGGTTTACCTACCTATCTGGCTGCTGGAAAATCTGTCAGGCCGCTGGTTTGCGCAAGGCGCTAAGGACACAGCACGACAGCCCACTGCTTGAAATCCCTCAGTAGTCTGCATGCCTTGGGAGGCCATTGATCCCATGGAAATCCCCAAGAGCCATGGAATCCCCTGGTAATTTAATATAACTATGGAAAGATCCACCATCTTTAATGGGAAAATTCACTGTTTCTATAGGACTTCATGGAGTGTACTTAGTAACTATAGTTTCTTTGAGTTTCGCCTTTTTTGCTTCACTTCACTGATCAGCCACTGGTCAGCCTCTTTTATCTCAGTTGTTTCAATATAGCAACCCGAAAGAATTAGACACACACACACACACATCCTGCTATAAAGCGATGGTAAATATAATTTACTTAAATTCAAACACATCTCTATCTTTTGATATCTTCTATAGGGAGTACCATAGTCGACACAAAGCCTCTTCGGAACCTCAGCTCCGCACATATTTCCAGGGCCGAAAGCGTTGACAAAAGGCCTGAGAACGCTCTGTCGTCGCTGTAGTACACTGCCTTTATTGGGTTGGACCATGAACACACATTGATTTTACGAGCTCAAACCTGGTGATTTAACTAGTAGTGGTTCGAAATGGTATCGTGATTTAACGAGAAAAGTCATTGGAATATTGTTCCTTAGGATGACCTCAGTTGATTTAGACATGGAACGCTTGATTTTTTTCGGACAAGTTTGAACTGGATTTTGCTTGAAGCCCTTCGCGAAATGAATGATTTGGAAGCAGCCCAAAGAAACATCTCTAGTGAGGAAGTCTTTACAAAGGCCCGTCCTTTTTCTTTGGTTGTTTTCTGAAATCTATTTCCCTATGAAAACTAAATTTCCCGGCCATGTCATCATCTGCTTAGTAGCTGTCAGGTATCCCTATAAAATTCTGGGTCATGTTTGACCCCAAACCAAGGATTTAACTCTTTAGTTAGAGTGCCTGAATTTCAGTTCCAAATATCGAAGATTTGCCAACTGGGTGTTCCCAAAATTGGGGCAGCCCTGAAAACACCATTTGTTCCCTACATGTTGACCAAGAATGTGATGGGCATTTTGTATCGCCTATTTTTAAGAACCCCCAAGTTCTATCCCTGGTTGGTGGTTTTAACAATCTTGAAAAATATTAGTCAATGGGAAGGATTATCCCATATATTATGGAACATAAAAAATGTTTGAACCCACCAACCAGTTATGCTTTGTTGTTTACTTTCAATTTTCGTCAATTTCCCGTCTGGGTCTGAAGAGTTAGGGTATCCCCAATTCCGATTCTCATCATTTTCCCGCTTAAAATGACGACATTTGTTCGGAAAATGATCCCCTATGTTCAGATGAACCCAATGTTCATATTGCTTATCCCATTATCCCATTGTAAAGCCACATGTAAAATGGGATAATTATCCCATTATCCCATTATCCCATCGTATTGCTTCTATATCCCATTATCCTATTGTTTGGATTTTCCCATTATCCCATTGTAAAATACCTATTCAAACACCATCAACTTTGGTAAACGAAGAGCCACAACATGGCACCAACACGAACGTTGGTAAACACCCGTGCCATTTCGCAACACGAGGCGCGGAGAAAGACGCTGAGCTGGTTCTGTCAGTGATCTCAACCGCCTGGAAGCTGGTGCTGGAGAATCAGACAATTTTGAAAATCGCTAATTCCATGTTCCAAACATCAGTGTTGTGATAATGTATATCATAGAATCTTTTCCTAAGCTAAGCCATCACCGGACATTTACTGTCATTTTTACATACATATAACATAATGTGGGTCAAACAATGCCATAAACCACCCATGACTGGGAATGGTTTTAATCCCACCGATAAAAATGGTGATGACTGGGGGCTGGTTTATTATTGCTTTACCCACATTAGATGAGATGACTTGTTGTGGGAATATCACCAAATAATCCCAAGGGTTTATGATCCCTGGCATGACTTGGGGGTGCCATGGCTTCCACATTGAAGTTTACCCTTTTTGGGGGATGGATGAATGGGATATCCTTGTGTACCAAAACAAAGAAAACTGAATGGAAGTATAACTGGTTGGTGGTTTCAACCCCTCTGAAAAATATTAGTCAGTTGGGATGATTATTCCCAATATATGGGAAAAAATGTTCCAAACCAACAACCAGATAAGAATAACAATAGACTTCTTATAATTTCTATACTCCCTTGTTGGTGATTTTCCCTGTTAACCCCATCCCCTAACATTCAACACCTCCTACGAACCACGGTTTCTAGGGGGGTACATATTAGGGGGGAGTGATTATATATTATATATACTGCAACATGGGGACAGAGTAGGGCTACTACGCAATGAGGATATACTGGGCATACGATGGGATATAACATGGAAATCTAATGCATGGAAACTGTTGACATCTTGGCATCAGAGGTGGAAAAGAAGGACTGGTAAAGATAAACCCATGCCATGGGAATATACATGCAGGAAGGGGCCCTAGTTATAAGTTGGTTTATAAACCAGAGCAACTATAGCTATGTGACCTATAAGCCCTAGTTCATCTACTTATGAGTCAACTTAGCAAACTATGGGGCTCCTTCTTGTGGTGTATAAACACACAGAATATCTATTGGGATATTTGGATATATTGAGTGGGATGTGTCACCAACATGCTACACAGTATGGATTTGTCTGGTTCTTAGTTGCTGTGGGAAATATACCCTCTGGTAATTTAATATAGCTATTGAACATGGCCATAGAAATAGTTGATTTACCCATGACAAATGGTGATTTTCCACAGTTATGTTAGTTTTCCAGAGGGCAACCAAATAATTCCAAGGGTCGGTGATCATTGTCGCCATTGGAATTGCCATTCTGGGGGTGGGGTATCCCCCATTGTTGGACAAAGCTACAGTACATGGAACCAGAACCCATGTCCGGCCGGCAAAAAATCATCGTCCGTCTATCTTGAAGCTGCAAAGATAGGCTCGAAGTAATTCAACAAAAAATCAAGCCATTCCCATCTGGTTGGTGGTTCACCTACCGCTCTGAAAAATATGAGTTCGTCAGTTGGGATGATGAAACTCCCAATATATGGAAAATCATAAAAAATGGTCCAAACCACCAACCAGCCATCTTGTTCAGCATGTCACGATCATGGCCTCAGCAAGCCTTAGTGCAAGGATTCACCCTCTAAACTAACAAGTAGCTATGGAACCGATAGGCAAATCAGCATCTATGAATGGGCATTGTATTTTTCTACATGGTGGGGATATACATGGCAGTTTTTATATTCTATTGGATCTCCATGATATCCTATCCCTTGTAATATCTTGTAATAATGGTGGGATTTAATACCCCCAAGCGCCGAGGTTGAACCTCCATTCGTGCGAGGGTCAGGAAGTACAAGGTGTAGGACCAGGATGCCGGCGCCTCGGCCCGTGGAATACGTGGAATACGTGGAATACGTGGAATACGTGGAACGCGGAACGCTACGTTCTGAACATGGCTGCTGAAACTTGTTGAGCCCCTCAGAAAAGGGTTGGAGCCCTCACAAACGTGCTCAATTGTTTCCGGAAAGGTAACTATGGTACCTATGGTACCTTGCCTGCTTTTTGACAGGCGTCCTGTCTTCAAAGTTGCTCCATCATAATCAATGGTTGGGATAAAATAAGATAAAATTATAAGATATTCATAAGATTAAGATCATGGTTGTGCCATCGTATCAGCCACCAATGTCAGCCCCACCAGCGCTGGGACTACTTACTGAGAAGCTCAGAACTTTGCTGAACTCAACGCTGGAAGGAACAAGGGCGGTCCTCCTGTGGTGGCGAAATGTTGGAGAACATCCCCGAGCAAAATGGATGTGTTCATGGGAACATCATGGTTTTAGTGAGAAATCCTGTATAGATGCTATATATTCACGTTGGACTGCCTGAGGATAAATCGTCAATTCTTGAACACAACCCAGCTGCTGGCTGGTGTTCCTTTTTGAACATCTATGTTAGATCCGGGTCTGGTCTATTTAAATCAGGGATCCTGACGTATCAAAATGGTGCCTTAGAACCTATTAAAGGATTCTTAGAACCTGCTGTAAAATTCTTAGAACCTGTTGTCTATAAATCTGGGTCTTTTTATTACATATAGTTTAGAATCAAGTTTGCTCTATTTAAATCAGGGATCCCGACGTATAGAAATGCTGGTTTAGAACTTTTTATATAATTCTTAGACTCTATCGTATAGTTCTTAGAATCTATTCAATTTGCTTCTAAACAAATTATCATTTGTTTCTGCCACAAACAGTTCTTGTTTTGAACAAGGTGTCATACAATTGGGTCTTACAACTTATTGCTGCATATTTGTCGCACGTGTTGTACATGATTTGATGTTTTTCAGACTACGTCTCAACAGCATAAACATGATTGCTCAATATCCAAACCTTTTGCCTTCAAGATCCCTCCTTGTCCGGACATGCATCATACCCACTGTATTTTGGCACAACCACAGTCAATGAAGTTTTTGCAGCAGCCTTCCAGTAAGACATTGACACTACACAAAAGCGATGTGCCACGCCGCAGCGTTGGATGAAAACAGCCTCCTTCCATGCATATGTACGTACACGCATATGCTTGATCAGTGGAAACCCACTGACAGAATAAGTTCTTGCATACAAGGATCTATACGTACAATGAGACAAAAATTGCACCATCTGCGCACGCGATTGGATATGCGTGTGAAAAATTGTATATCACATACATCATGTATGACTTTTAAATCAGGCTTTTTTTTTGGGTGGGGGTAGATAAATGATGTTCATGATGAAAGTATGCAGAAGTATGCTTTGTGCTCTCAAATTTTATGCATGCTCCATGTCAGGTATGGGCTACCATCCAGGCAATCCATGAGTGAGTGTATAAGTCAAGAATGTCTTTTCTTGCTCTTGCTATCACATGGTCCTATTGATCATTTAAACAACATATGACATATTTGATGTTTGGTTGTGAAAAAAAACACGGCTGTAGCATACGATAGCAGAGAACATGATTGGTGCAGTCCCTTGTCATGCTACCATCTTTTCCAAATTTCACTGGGCCGCAGTTACAATGCACGACTGCGCGCTGATGACTGTTAGTGCGCTTAGTGCGTTGTAGCTACGCATGCTTTGTCGTGTGCTTTTGTTACAACGTATGATTCGATGATCATATCACTGTCACTGTATCTGCAAATGATGGGCTCAATTCATGAAACCGAAGGTTCAGATTTTTTTCCTTGAAACATTTTTGCAAAGGACAAGAGGGTTCCGTAGGTGGATTGAAGAAGCACGCTGCATTGCTTCAGCAGGTGGGGCAGTACAGTAGAGAGTCGTAGATCAGTTGTTACCTAGCAGCTACTAGCAAGTTAGCCAGCAGTTACCATTGTATCATTGTATCATAATTGTCACTATCATGTATTAACAAGTATTAACTATACTATACTATTTGTGGATTTTGATTAATGATTCATGGCTTAAGACCGTTCCAACGTCTACGCTTTAACATGTCACAAGTAGTCAGGTATGTGCCTTGTATCATGATGTCAAAGCAAAAGCACGTAGCGGTGTAATACCTTTACTTAAATGCTGCATGGTTCATGATACATGACTTCGACTGTACATCTTGCGGACATGGGCTGGTTTGATGAATCCTGCAGATTTTCCTTGCATGATGCAATACTTCCACTGCTTCTGGCAAGTCTTCACCGTTTCACCGGAATAGACAATGTGGTAGAATGGCCTTCTACGTTGGATGTTTCCCTGCTGGCCCTGGACTCCACCCCCATGCCCCGTAGCCGAAGTCGTTTTTTGAATTCAGGTTCTAAGATTTGAGAAATAGTTTCTAAACTTTTTTTTTTTTGTGAAATTACAGGTAGAAACAGTTTCTGGCAGGTAGAAACGGTAGAAACGGTTTCTGGCACCATCCGTAGGCCATTTCAGGGCTCAACTTTCTTCCATTGTTTACGTTTTTTTCCCACAGGACAGTCAGGGCTGAGTGCAATGTCCCAATAGCAAATCAACAGTGTTCTAGTCAAATCCATTTGAACACGCAAGCCGGGCCGAGCAATACGCAACTGCCAGGACATCCCAAGATGTCTCTTCAAACCCCCTTAATTTCCCCCAGAAGTTTAAGTAAGGCCGGAAATTATTTTGAACCGTGTTGACACTTCAAACTTTGGTACTTCAAGTATTGACCTCCGGATTATGCCAACATGTCTAGACTTTTATGATTTCTATGGGACCCTATGTTGTCTATGTTTGATTTTCTCGTTCATGTTAAAACAGGCAATCATTTCATGAGGTTGAAAGCCAAACAGGTAGGAACCGTTGAAACCGTTTCCACCTATTTGGGCCCAAAACGGATGGAAACCGTTTCTTCCGCACAGCGCTATTATGCCCCAAAAACGAAACAGATTAGAAACCGTTTCAAACCGTTTCAAACCGTTTCTGGAAGCTGTTTATAACATAATAGGTTGAGACCGTTGAAACCGTTTCCACCTGTATTTGTTGGAAACAGGTAGAAACCGTCGAAACCGTCCCTACGAGTCTTGAAAACACGCATAATTTTTAACATTATGGTAAGATGGCAAAGGCTTCGAGGTTGCTTAAAATACCAAGGTTCTAAGTCGTAAACTGTAAGTATTTGCAGGTTAAAACTCACCAGTTTAGGTACAAACTGCAATACAAATTCATGGTCAAACATCTGAAAGTTATATATATATGATATCAACTGTTGAATACGGTGCAAGTGTAAGTCAAAGGCTGGAAGTGTTTAAATGAAACAGTGAACTTGAAACTTAGTTGTGGCTTGTCTTTAAGTATATTGAAATGAGTGATGGAGATGCCACTATTTTTTCTTTGGGGGTTTAACGTGTGAAGCTGCTTGTACTAGTAGGTTATGCACTTAACACGTTCATTAATCGACAAGTTTTATCATCGCATATCACGGAATATTCGACAGTCAAGTTCTCATGGCTCCTCTTGCAATAAAGAACATAACAAATTGTTATCAAAACAAACCTATCACTAGTTTTCAGCGCCTATTTGCTGCCTATCTGAATCTGCTTCACTAAAAAGTATGATTATACATATTCATGCAGCACAGCCTCCCATCATACTGTTTTGACGGTATGCAGTATGCTGGTTCACACCATTTCATGTAAGCATAGTAATTCTGCAATTCGCAACACCACTCTATCCACATAGTTTTATGGCAAACAGTTCACGGCATAAGTGCATATATGACGGTATGCCGTAAATGATGATATTCAGTATGTGGCCGATGTTTGGTGGCACATAGGAAACATATGAAAAAAATGTACCTTCAGCTTCTTTCAGATTCACGATGTTATTGTTTACTGCCCTGAATTTAGCATTTAATTCAACTTGATTCGCATTCCCACTTATGAACCCATGCAAGGTATCCTACTGGGATAGCTGAAGCAAACACACAGTGTTCCACCAAATCCCAGTTTCAATCATACAATGCGCTTGGAAAGAAGAAATACATGTACCACCGGGTCCAACATCAAGGCCACGAAGTTTGGTTTGCCTTTTGAAAAACCAACTCACACCCAGCAGTACAGTTGATAGATTGCTGTGTGGGCAAATCTGCAGTGTCCAGCTGGATTTTGGCAGATTTTGGCTAATATGGGCTATAATTATAATAGGTTCCAAGAAATTATGATCAGGTTCTAAACATGCCCTGTGTGGTCAAAATGCCCACAGGTAAATAGACCAAACACGGTTCTAACATCTATGTCACAAACAAAAACATGTGCAGCAAATCAGCAGAAACAGTGCACTCCTCAGCATTCGGAGAAACTTCAAGGACCCTTGCCAGGCATCATCAGGAGCGGTGAACCTCGGAAAACCAGATTCCACATGCTGGTCATGACTCCATTCACGGCTCTTGGATATCCTCCGGTAATAAAACATGGCAACATATGGCAACTGGAATCCCCCCAAAAAATGGATGGGTACTTAACTGGTTAACATCATCTATAAATGATAGCTTGTCCATTGCGCTGTTTGATGGCACCAGAAGCTACCTAACAAAAACATATAATACAGTATATTCCATGGCAAATTCCCCATTGATCGCAAAACAACAAACTCTTCCAGCAAGGTTGTGCACCCCCAGTTACAAATGGGTTATAATCCCATTAACTATAGTTCGATATATCACCAACAAAAACCAGCCTGTGAAATTGGATCAACATTGGCACCGCACCAACCAATCGCGAGACTTAGCTCACTGGGGCACCACCCTGTGGGGACCAGGTGAAAAGCCAGCGATGTTTTTACAGCACTGAGTCCCCCTGCGTTCCACGAATCGCATCATTTGTGAGCTCGATCCCAGCACTTCTCCTGGCGCGAAGTCGGGGCGAGATCTTCCGGGAGTGACCAAGAAAATCAGCCCTTCATTTTTTTTTGGAACCTCAAAATGACCTGGTTTGGGGGGTATAGTTTACCAAAACTGGGATGATGTAACATGACCATTTCAAAAATGGTTGCTTGATGATCTTCATGTGATAATAATTGTTGGCTTTACCACCCTATCCATCTGCCTTTTGTTGAAGCACCCATATCAAGCTCCATGGATTTCAGGACATAATGCAGATCACCTGAGCTGAATTCCCTAATTTCAATTGGAGTCCGGAAAAGATCGGAAAAATTGGAAATTCATCCCTGCTATTCTGACTTATTTTGGGTGATTCTTTGTTTTTCATGTTTTTTTTTTGGGGGGGGGCTCCTTTATTTGCATCCAAGGATGCCACGGAATCGATAATATGTATGTGTATATAAGTTACAATGTGAGGCCCCCGTTCGATAGCTAAGTTGGTTGATAACTCCAATAACTATGGTTTATGGTACTTTTAACTTATAACTATAGTTACTGGGGCTTATAAACCAACTTAGCTATCTTGGGGGCCTCACATTGTATACATGTATATATGTGTGTAATATAAGTACCATGTTCAACCAACTCTCCATATCTGTGACCACCCAACAATGTTTCGGTTTATTCAGGCCTCATTAACCAACAACATTCAACACCCACATGTTCAACCGGGTCTGTCGTTGAACATGCCAGGAGCTACAAAGAGCAAAGCCCTGCAAGAGCCTGCGGGCCAGGAATCCTGGAGCCTGGTTTGATACTGTGGATGGTTGCGAAATGCTGCACCACCAATAGGATGGTTGAAACATGTTGAAAGCCCATACCCTCTGGTAAACTAACATAGCTATTGAAAATGACCATTTATAGTGAGTTTTCCCATTAAAAATGGTTATTTTCCATAGTATTCCATAGTTATGTTAGTTTACCAGAGGGTAAATCATATTCAATCATGGGATGTTTACCATCAACTGGTGCAGGATTTCGCTTCGTTTACCATCCACGGTACTGTACTTTGGATCAGTTTGAAGGAAACACATGCAGATTGAACCAACGGTCCTGGAGATTTTCCCTGAAATCCATGGGATTTTTTCAACTGAAGCAACCACGTCATGGGAATGGGAATGTCATATAATGTCATGGCTTGTGGATGGTTATGGTCAATCCATGCTATTAGGATATATCAATCCATACTATTGGGATATATCCAATTGATTCCAATTCTATGGCTTTGTTATGCTTTGAAACGATGGGATCACGTGGGCAGATTTTTTTTTCCGCCATGCAAGTTGGGGATGGGGATCATCCAACGATGTCCGTCCGCATAGTGAAAAACAATTCAACACACCTGAAAAAAATCCAGCGCCTCACCATGCTTTATTGGTCTTGATATGTCTTGATGATTTCTAAAGTGGGATCCCATAGGTAATTCAGTTTAATTCAATGGTTTCACAGGGGGGTATTACGGTGGATCTGAGAAATTGAGCGTGGCGAGCTCGTGGCGCCATGAACGATCCATACTCTGGGTTGACGAAATCAAAATCCCAATGGAAATTGGTTCACTGCCTGATTTGCTACTTCACATATATATATATATATGATTTTTATAAATTTAAATGTCCAGGCTGATTTTGATTGACACGTCCAGATTTTGCTGATATCACCCTGTTGGACCTCTGTATAGGTTCCCCTATATTTCATGGTGTTCAACTTCTCTGCATTTTTTTGGGGTTTCTTGAAATATTTGTTGCTTTTGAGTCTTTGCTGATACTTATACTATCAACAACTTGTTGCTATAGTGCTACTATAATTGTGTTTTTTTCTCACCATCACCATTATTGAACAGTTTCAAGAAGAAGATTGTGGTAGTGCACCAACCTTTCGCGGCTTCGGGACACGTGGTAAGGTCAGGGGGATAACCTCCGTGCACGTCAAGGTGCGGCGAAAGGGGAAAACCCTCTATTGAACGCTTTCAATACTTGGGGTTGCTATACTCTCGCTTAAAATGCACAGAACATCACAGAACTATATGAAAAATAACCCATATTATACGTAATTTACCCATCAACAAAAAACATCCTTTGCTCCATAGCATATATGTTAAACTTTTATGTGCTTGAGGAGCCCAAACAACATAAAACCTGTTCCGGACCGAGATTCCCTAGTCGTAGTGGATTTCCAAGTGGGAAAATGAACATCTTCAGCAACTCGGCCTGATGCCACTGTCGAGCCAGGCCACAGTTACCTGCCAAAAATGACCAGATTCTACCCTCCCATCAGAACATACGTGGCTGGCTGGAAATTCCTCTATAAATAGACGTTTTCCATGGGAAAACATCCATTGATTGTGGGATTTTCCATTGCTATGATGAGTCTGGCAGGTAGCTCTAGGATCTTCAACTTATATGATGGCCCACATATACACATATATATATATATACTATAATGGATGCATCTTCCAACCACAAGGTTTGACGATGTGGTTAGTAACCACAAGGTTTAACGATGTCGAGGACCCATAGGGTTTGATCACCTCCGAATTTCGATCTCAACTTCTAGAGTCGGGCTCTGTCCTATTGGCAGGTCAAAACATGGTATACGTGTCAGTCGGTCAGTCCACCACTATTGGGTGTCCGTGAATTTGCTTTACCATCCTCAAATCTGGGTATTGTGATGGTCCAAAAAGCATGGCTAAATTGAATTAAATTGATGGTTCAATCCGCCATGAGTATTCGGTCTACCATTTTTTTTTGGGGGGGGGCAATGGCGGTGTCTCTTCAAAAACCTCCAAATTGCACCTGCGATCATCCTTCGGCTTTGGGGATCATTGCAGGCACTCTGAACCATCGCCAGTTCCCACTGCATACCTCAACAAAAACTCTTGTGGACATGTTTTCATGGAATCTTAATTGGTCCTGGCATGTCCTATCTTGAGTCAATTACCAAGATGAAGGTAACCATATATCATTTATGGTGATTTATGGTGATTTATCACTATCCGATTACCTGGTAATTCGTCATTAGTAATAAATTGGTCGTGTGTATCATCCATAAAGTACCTGAAATACTGTATACATTTCCAATAGGCAAATCATCATAAATCATCAATGGGCCATGGCTTCCAGTTCGCAAACTGCAAGAAATCACCAGAGGCTAAATCTTGTATTTTTCTTACACCCATATTTTATTGTTTCCCCCCATTTTTGCTATATGTTTCTTATATTTTACATCCCCATGTTTTTTGAAAAAAACTCCCCCATTCACCAGACCATACTTTCATCCCATGGTTCATCCCCATTTTTGAATCATCGGATGATCCCAAAGAAATCTGGTTGGTGGTTTTTCGCCACCCCTCTGAAAAATGCTGGAGTTAACGTCAGTTGGGATGATGAACATCCCAATTTTTGTGGAAAGTCATAAAATATGCTCCAAACCACCAACCAGTTATTTATATAAATTTATCATGTATCCAAGGCGGCTTATCATGTATCTAACGCTTTGAGAGATATAGCTACTCGAGCAATGTCTAAAAGCCCATGGCACATGAAGAGTTTCTTTCAACTGATGGCTGGTGAAAGGACATTCCCAGTTCATGGATTATGATCTTCCAACTCTTGGGTAGTATATCCCGCGTAAACCACAACAAACCATCCTGCATCAAGTATATGTCAATATGTTGTTGATGCTTTCCTCTAGCCAAACACATCCTAAATGACTGGTTTAAAATCCCTATAGTTAATGATCAACATCTGTAGGTTATTTTGGAACCTGCGCACATCATGCACATCGTAGCTAGGTTGCCATTTCCTGAGGCCCCCAGCCGAGTCTCAAAGCGCGCACCAAATTGGAGCCCGGAAATGCCACGGTCGAATCTCTTGACGGTGCATATTCCATGCCTAGCGACTCGAGAATCGTGCAGAATCATAGGACCAAGCCATCTTCAAATCATTGATTTTGGGGATTATAACTTATAACACTTATAACCAACCTACATATAATTAAGATTAATTAAGCATTGAAAAGACAATTGTCCATCAATTACATTCGATTGCCACAAGTCACTATAAGTCTGGAAAAATGATGAACAAATCACCTGAAAAGTGCCATTTTGGGATCCCCCGCCCATTCGCGGCATCAAAAAAGAAATCCAAGTGCCGGTCAACTGCCCATGTTATTTTTTTTCGGATCAAAACACACATGTTTTCAGATTTTTTAGATGAATCTTAGAATAATCTTGACTTTTTATTTGGGGATGGGTCAAAACCCTGGTACCGTGCCGTGAACCCCAAGTCATAGCTGGGTTAAAATGGATGTTCATCCCACTAAAATATGGTACAAGGTGGGGCCCCCCAGTTATAAGTTGGTTTATAAACCCCATTAACTATAGTTATAAGTACCATAAACCATAGTTATTGGAGTTATAAACCAACTTAGCTATCTTGGGGGCACCACCTTGTATCTATAGGTATTGACCCATACCCATTTGCTCTTGTCCAACTCCCCACATTTGGGCCATCGGTTCACCGTCAAAAAAGGTCGTTAAAGTGACCTCGTTGCCAGAGCGCAGCGACCAAGGCCTTACAACGGCGGACCGTTGTTAACTGGGTATATTGATCCCTACGAAATTGATGACCAGGGATATAGCCATATATAGTTTATCAATGTTTATCAGCCATCAAACAGGTTGTTGAGGGGTAGATCATCCATGACTGGCTTGGTGTTTTTGGCATATCGGCGTATAATACCATAATATACCATAGTTAATATGGTGTTGATAGGACTTCATGGGGTTAAATGTCATTACCGGCTTCATTTTGTATCATGTTTATTATAATTGGCAGGTTGACACAGGTTCTATGACCAGGGTTTATGCCGGCGGTAACACCACCTTCCAAGAGGCTGAAGGACATGGAATTGACCTTTCGCCGAAGATGAAGGACATTATGAAATTTCATCTTAAATGAATCTTAAAAACAAACAAACAATTCATCAAACAAACAATTAATTTAACTAAATACAAGATGAAATCTTAAATTGTAGTTTTTTGGTGTTTTTTTTAATGCAGGACATGGATTTTAACATCATTTTTCAGACTTTGGAACCTAAGTTTCTCACATTTACCCTCTGGTAATTTAACAGTTTGCGAACTGGAAAATCACCATTAAAACAATGGGTAAATCCAATATTTCTATGGCCATTTTCAATGGTTGTGTTAAATTACCAGAGGGTAATGGTCTGAATAGGTTTAATGAGGTTGCAGGGGGTGTCTGAAAATATGGAACCTAAGTTTCTCACATTTGAAGAACATCAAAGCCGTATTCTGAGAACCCCAGGCGATTGCCAGGGACCAACGGCGTTTTGTCAAGCTCCGGAGGACCTCAGCTAAGGGCCCCCCCAGTCACGGAAAGAGTTGGTGAAGATAGCAATGCAAAGAATAGAACTAAATATATACTTTATGCATGTTTATGCATGTTTATGTATGATTATGTATGTTTATGATAGTTTATGTATGTTTATGCTAGCTGCTCTAGTTTTTATGCATCGTTATTTATCGTTCACGAATTATGGGTCCCCTAGTGAACATAATCATAAGTCCCCCCTACCACCATTTCCAAATACACCCCTTGGGTCCATGTAGGTTCATTGGACCCTATTCAACCCCATATTCAATCCCATTGAGGCCCATTAAGCTCCATTAAAGCCAAAAAAAAACACCAATGGCTGTATCTCCATTATATATAGACTGCTAGTTGAGTAATGCCCTATAAACCCCTATTTAGCCCCATTAAACTCTATTACCATATGGTTATGACTAACAGTTCGCCATGGAAAGATCCAGCATTTCTAAGAACCATCTATACCATCTATTTCGATTAGGGCCATGGCTTAACCATGGCTATGTTAAATATATAACCAGAGGGTATATTCCCAAATTAGATCCCATTAGATCCCATTAATTCCCATTAAGTCACCATAAAACACCATTAGTTTACCAGGGATAGTCATAACCAGAGAGTAACTCAAGCGATGCCACCATGGCACCAGATTCAGCCTCTCCACCTTCATCAAGGATGGATCCCTGGCCGCGGATCCATTTTTCCTAAGGAGCCGCCTTTCCATAAATGTATAATACCAGCCATACTAGTATATATATATACAATTATATATATATATTATATAACTGTATATATATATATATAATTATATATATATATATCATATTATATAAGTGTATATATATGTATATATATACTGTATGTACATGTATATATATATATAAACTAATATACTATTAGCCTATTAGCCACTTCCTAGGTGAGATCCACATCCATAGATTACAACAGTTCGTATCCAAGATATCTTCGTCCCAAGCAGCACGTCCACTCCAGTTGCAATGATAACCCCAGCATCACGAATGATATTCTGTTCATAGACCCAGGATTCCGGATTCCAGTTTTAATCAGTTATATACACATGGTTTATTGCTCCAATCAGTATTCCTATGTTCCTACTATTAGAATTCCCGGTATGATCGAAGAGTCTTCCCCGAAGCACAAACCTCAGAGCTCGTGCGAAGTCAACGTATTTCCTGGTCCTCTCTGGTAGGACCTGCAACCGGTGGACTCTGGGGATCCCAGAAACAAAAAACTTTGGAAAGATCCACCATTTTTCATGGGTAAATCAACTATTTCGACTGGGCCATTATCAATAGCAAACTGTTTGTTTACCAGAGGGTAAATCCATTGTTTCAAAATGGTTCAAAATCTCATTTTCATGAATTTTCCCCATTGAACATGCCTTTTTTCTTGGGGCACCATGTTTTCAAGCCCAGTGGTGATGCCCTATAGCGATGTCAAGCTCGACGCAGAAACATTTTGGATCATCACCTCCACACCAACTGGATTTACACCATAGGTCAGAATAATCACCAATAAATCAAGTGACAGAATTCTAACCCCTCAACGGTTTACTGAAACCAATCAACAACGGTTTCAGCATCACAAAATCTCATGGGTCTGTCCCATCGTTGATCATCATGTTCTCCGATATTCAACAGCAATTCAGGGGTATACGGTATACACCATTTCTGAACAAACTCAAATGGGAGAATATGGGATACTAAGCCGAAACAAATGCGATGACCACCAAATGATGGCCAATCTTGGCTTTGGTACAACGCAAAGTACAGGCTGGATAGCAAGTATGTCACTTCATGGCAACAAAGCAAAAGCTTAAACTTATAGACAACCGCCTGGTATTTATAGTGACAACAATCTATAGAGTGACAACAAATTATAAATATATTTATATCAATTCCTGACAAATTCCTGAAGGTCGTTGTAAATCGCAAAGTTCATGGCAAGTATGTAAGTTCCAACCAAGGTTTTCTGTGAAATGGGATATGACTCATATGACCATCCCTCTGTTTCCTTCAGGTTCGTCACAACCGTCCCACAGGTTCGGCCTTTTTTGCGATGAACCACTCCGGCTTCTGCTGGGCCTCGAAGTAAGTTCAACAGAAGTGAACCAATGTTGAAGGGGCAATTGTTGACCAAGAAAAATGAGGACATAGTCATAACATTGGTATTTCTTCCAGATATTTATTGGGATTTAACATGATTTAACTCATAAAACTTATCCAAAGGTGGACATATAAACAAAATGAACATGTTTTGACCAGTTAACCATGGGGCCCATGGGGACATACAAGTAACAAATGACCAGCTGACAGTTGGACCAAAAAAAGCGATGTGATTTGACAAACCGTAAATCTATGCAAACATGGGGGATTTTATCTGTCAACCATAGGGACTAAAAAAGCACAACATATATACCCTCTGGTAATTTGACATAGTAACATAGCTATTGAAAATGACCATTTATAGTGGATTTACCCATTGAAAATAGTGATTTTCCATAGTTATGTTAGTTTACCAGAGGGTAACATTATTTATCCAGCAAAAACGGCATTTTGAGAAGTGAACCATTAAAAACATCCATCAATCTCATGAATAGCAACTAACTAACTAAGGTATGTTTAATGGATCAAGTTGACAACTGGCTGATGCTTGGAATTGCTGCGCCTAATCTGATCAGAGTCTATGTTCAGCTTCATGTTCAGCAAAAAAAGAACATCCATACAGCTAGTGCAGAAGGCTTGATCAACATCGGTTGGGAATGACCATCCCTCTTCCTGAGGCAGCTTCTTTCCTTCAATTCAGTCTTTCAATCAAGAGAAGATCAACCATCAAGCATAGGGATATTACTGGGATATGATTGGGACATTAGTGGGATATACTTGATATCACATATATCCCCCTTTTCCCCAAGTTGATCTTACTATAATCAATTCATTTTTCGTAATCATTCATTTCATCAACTTGATATTCAAGTTAATATATATATATATATATCATACATTAACATACATTAACATTAACGGCATATTCATAGCCAAACCGTTTATGAACAAAAATCTTCGTCGGAACTCCTGGCTCGCCTCGCCTCGGCTCCCGGAGTGCCCGGAGTGCGGCTCCTGGTATTGCTGGAGAACTTTTCAACCAATACGTAGAGACCAGGGAGTAAAACGATCATAAACTTTAAAAAAAAAAACAGCATAAACTATTTTTTCAACTATTATGAACTATAATAAATTTATAATATGACAATCTTTAGCTCACAATCTTCACAATCTCACGAGTTCATACGATTTCCCTGTTTGCATCTTTTTTACCTGGGGGGGTGCTAGATTTCATAGCACTAACACAAATCCAGAATGAACTGGTGGTGGATCAAAAGTCTTTGTACCCCTGCGTGGCTTACATCACAAAAATCGTGGTTTCAAGCAGTTAAACGTGCATTTATCTGTATACACACTACATATCTACATATACGCGTATGCATACATATATGTATACATATATGTATACATATATGTATACATATATGTATACATATATATATATACACATATTATATGTACATAGATAGATAGATAGATAGATAATATACATAGGCACTACACTCATACATACATCTTTACCTTTAGTAACTTGCAAAAAGAATCAAACATATATAGGAAACATATATAAGCAAAAATAATCTTAAAAGGCGGCAACATGTGGCAAATTGAACCCCTTCTGCCTCTCTTTGGGGCATAAGGGTCTTACTTCGGGGGGCCGCCGACTGAAGATCACCGTGTTTTTTCATGGGGAATTCTCATGACTGATACGCAAAAATGAGGAATCTGGCTATTCATCAAAAATAGTGACTCAGAAATACAATTTTTATTAATTTTCCAGAGTTGTCTCTTACGCTCTTTTCTGATTTACTGGCAAAATCATCTATTAAAATGTGGGGAAGTGTCCATTCTTCTCCCAGGGGTCACCTCAGAAGTCACTCGGCACCTCAGATGACTCAGTCGAAAAGGCCTCGATGCATCCTGCGGCAGGTCGCGCCGGCTCGTTGAGAAAACGCCGTTTCGACGTGAGTCATACCATGGAATCCCCGGGGTTTCATTAATATGGGTCAAAATTTGGTACCCCTAATTATCAGAACGGCTCCTCATGGGGGAGTGATTTTTGCTCTAGAATTAAATGGTTATACTTAAAAAAAAACTAAAATCTGTGGTCCCCAAGGTCTTTAATTATGAGTCAAAACCCTTGTACCCTAGGTACCTCACGATAGCTGGGACTTACGGATATTCATCCTCCCAAAATCTGATAATTGAGGGAACATTTCATAGGTAACTGACTTGACCCATCCGACATTTTAGGGTCCCTAAAGATTCTTAAGCTGTTTTTTTCCCATGGACATAGATGATGAGGCTACCATGATGGATGTGGTGTAACATTCCGAGTGGATGACATTTGCGATATGAAATCAGCCCACAACGTGGAGCCCCAAAACAATAGCCACGATGGTTTTGAACTAGGATAACTCGATTGGGTCTTAAAGATATATATCAAGCTAGTTATAATGGGGCATGTAAGCCAACAAACATTTGGAATACATTTGGGTGTATCTGAAAATGGGGTCACCCCAAAATAGCAACTCTTGTATATTTTTATAGGAAACATGATGATCACCGATTCTGGGGGTACTCTGTTTTCAGACAAACCCATTTCACATTGGGACACCTCTGCCCAGTATCAACCTATAGCCATCTGCCCAGTCCCCTCCTGCATGCGGGCTGCGCAACTGGCGCATTCTCCAATCTGATCAGCTCCAAGTGACCTTCACAGCAAGAGGTTGAGGATTTATCCAAGAATTGGATCTGGGATTTTTTTTATCGCAATTCACTAACCTGAAATTTTCCCCGGATAACCATTGAGATAATTCCCGGAATCCTAACATATCCTAACCATCATTCCTGTGTTGTCTTGCCGTGAAGTCACTATCCAACCAGATTGGATGGGAAAAATGGGATCATTTGGGTTTAAACAGCAGGCACCTTCATTGTGAGTATGGAAATGCAATTTTTACTAACGCTGAGCAGATTAGGTTTGTTTAACTCTATGTGGTATATTTTTATATAAATCTGTTTAAGTCTGCTTAAGTCTTATCTACAAATCTACAAGCGGCTTGCTCTTATTGTATCTGTATCCTCTCTCTCTCTCTCGGTGTCTCCAAGTTATGGTTGAACTTCTTGCTGAAAGTTAAGCTTGAAGCTTGCTTGGCAATGTCAATGTCTCCAATCTCAGTTGATGTAGTTCATGAGCGGAATGCTTGGATTACACACATATAACTAGGAGTGTCCCCCCCCCGCGGGGGTTGTGTATAATTAATATAATATATATATATATACATATGAAAAGACAGCCTATAACTAATAAAAAAGGGCAACCTACTGTCCAAGTTCTCTTGCATGGAACCCTTCTCACCATTCTTCACTTAAAACACTCGAACTCTCGTTGATCCTCGTTGAATGTCTAATCAATGATGACTTCCAAGCCTCAGCATTGGGTAAAGACGATCAGGTCAATCAGGTCCAAGCTGGCAATGCTTCCACTAGTAACTCCTCCAACTCTGATTTTTACTCATGGAATTATATATAAGATATATTATTATATATATCCCATGGACTCTAATATGAGAATCATCCCATGGACTTGAGGACTACACATCCCTCTTGATTGCGGCTAGAATTCTCCGAGATTTTCAGATGCAGTAGCTGGAAAGAAAATGAGCCTGTAATTACCATGGGACTAATATTTAAATTCTCTAAAAAAATGTAGTGATTCTCTAAAAAATGAAGTGATTCTCTAACTAATTAACATGTTCAATGTAGTGATTCTCTAAAAAAAAAACATAAGTCCATCTGAACCAACAACATCCACTGGCTCTTCCACCAGTGTCACTCACCCTTCAACACTTGGATTCACTTTATCCCAACCGCACCTTCAATCAACCGCACACCCTCAACAGCCCACATCCAAACACAAAGCTTTCATCAGAGCTTTTCAACAGTCATCTTGGCAGCATGCTCAGCTTTGGAGAAGAATTTCACGTTGTCCATCATATTGACAGCATAAGAAACATCGAAACGCAACACCCAACAGTAACACCGAACAGCACATCGAGATCGCCACAAGTAATAGGCCGCTCAGCACGAATTGTAATAGGAACACCGCGAATTGTAATAGGAACAGCGCAACACCCAACAGCATCGAAATGAACAAGACAGCAGCAACTAGATCAGACAGATCTTGCAAAAGAATGCAAAAGAGGGGAACCAGCTGGCAACAAAGGAGAAAACATGTCGCGCAGACAGCCAGAACACTAGCCAAACCACTCGCTCAAACAGCGAGCCCTCAATTCTTGTCCATCTGGTCCCAGAAGTCGTCGGAGAAGTCATCGGAGCCCTCGGAGCACTCCAGCAGAGTCGACTGTTTCGAGCTTTGTTTATGGCAAAGGCCCGACGGTCCGAATTTTAGCCGTCAAACGCTGCACAGTGGATGCTCGTTTTCCTCTGTTCAGCATCTGCTCGTACATGTGCATGGTTTTTTCGGCATCAGATACAGTGGCTGTCAGTGGCTTCGTCATCAGCACATTCTGACGGATGACGGATCCATCTGACTCTAAAATGCGAAAACAAATTGGGCCAAAAGCTGCTGAAATGCTTTAATTAGAGTCACTTAGCAATCAGACAGAAACACTAACATGTCCATTGAGATAGGCAAAATGGGTCGTGCGGTTGGAGTTGGACCTTCCACTGGTCATGAGTCGATGCTAAGAAACACAGCGCATGTCCGAGGGTGACTGAATGGTTTGCCCAGGCAGCTGAGTTCTGATGCATATTCTATATATATATATATATTTAATATATATATATATATGTCACACTATTTTTTTTTGAGGCTGGTGTAGAGTTTGGCAATTTTGGAGCACTGTGGATGTCCCAAATTTCAGCTGCCTCTGACAGCGGGAATCAAATCAGCTTGGACTTAAAACAAAAACGATAGCCCTCTGGTAGACTAACATAGCTATGGACAATCACAATTTTTCATAGACACATCCTCTATAAACTTGGATCTCCAATTGCAATCTATGATGAAAAAGAATTGAATTTGTCCTATCATTTGGCCTATCTAAACGGAATTTATGGATTTCATCCATTGAACAGATTTCATCTGAATGGAAGGATAGCCCTCTATGATGAAATCTCGAGAATGAAATCATATGAAATCCATCAGTTGCAGCAAATGTCCATCTGTAAGGATCTTTTTGAGGGGTGTGGGTGGAAAGGTGCTGAACATGCTCAAGGGTATGCCTCCAAAAACTCTTGAGTGGAGAGGCAACTTCAACCAGTTGTTTCATCGCCAAGTTCACACCAATCAATAAACATCAATAAACGGTGATATCTGTCCCGCACTCTCATAATCGATCTGAAGTGAAACTACTTGTATTTGATAAAGAACCAATCCACTGAAGCACATGTCAGGTGCGGCGGACTTGAGTCTGTGCTTCCGCCATTGACTCAGCACCATGAACCACTCCTTATCTCCTTGCTATCCACTACATTTCACAAGGATTTTGTTGGAGATCCACTCAGAAATCCCATCCCTATTACTAAATAGGACTATAATTATATATATTGTATAAATATATATATATATACCTACTGAATCTTTAACCTACTTTTTTTTGGGTTGAAATCTTAATACCTGGTTTTATTCGTAATCATGGAAAAAACCGTTTTTTTTTTTAAAAAAAACTGGTTTTTTCTAATAACCCCAAAATATCAACATTTTAGAAGTTCAATCTCGATCACGTTCAGCAAACCTTTGGAAATCCCATGCAGATCCTGAAGAATCATTGGGTATAATAGGTTATCATAGTCTTTTGTGGGAAATCACTTCATCTTATCACCCTGGATGTCAATGAAACTTAGGGTTTGGTCAAATCCTTTGGGGATCAAGGGCCACAAGCGGCCACTTTTTGGCATGAAAGGGCTTCAAGTGTCTTGACATCATATGAGGGATTAACAAACAATAAACATAGTCCTCATTAATTACCAAATAACGTGGATCAACCCTTTTGGTGAATCAGAAAAAATAGAAATGCAATTCCCAAGTTAACACTCTTATGGGTAATCTAATGACATTTGAGTCCTGTATTTTGATTATATTCCCCGTTCATGATCATTCATGTGCCGACCGTATTGCCGCGGCTGGTCTGGTGCTGGGCTATGACCATGCTGACACCGTTGGGGCCCTCAGCGGCCCTTTTTCCACCCACTGGCGGGCTGGTGCAGTGCAAGATCCAAGAGGTAGGCAAATTACCTCAGCAGGCTTCATGTAGCTAATGGCAACCCTCAAAGGCTATAATCATGTAAAACCCTTTGGCCTGTTTGGTTAAATTACTTGGGGAAATTGTTGTTTTCAATTTTTTTTGACTACCATGCCCAAGTGGCATGGTCATTATATACAACTTACTTGTTTACAGTAGGCTGCATTAGGCCCATCTTCAAAACCATCTGTTGTTTGATTCTTCCAAATCTTCAAAAAATGCAAGGATCTTTTGGCTCATTTGGGCCTCGTGCCCTGTTGGATAGTGCTGGCAGCTGTTGCCAACTTGGTTATGGCAATGGATGTTGGTGGATTGGGCGCCAAGTGGGAAGCACAGCAGGGGATAAGGGAGCGCATCCGAAAGGAGCGTAAGCTGTGCCTCCATCCCCTGAGTCAGCGATACTGTGAGCCCACCAGGCCCAACTCAGTCACCAATGCGATGGTGTTGCGGCCTGCCTTGGAGATTCTGAAGGATACCCCGGGCTGGAAACTGCCGCACATAGAACCCTTGCAAGCTGAGATCTATCAGCTCTTCCAGCGTGTTGGCACCCCCGTCGAGGATCAGTACGTCTACACGTCGTCCATGGAAATCAAGAAGTTGCTTGGATTCATCAAAAGGCGGTGCACCAGGCGTGAGGTCACGAAGGCCTGTTAGTTTTTCTAAACAATAATTTTTAGTTTTTGTGCAAGGACCTAGGTCGATTTTGCAAGTATAAATATATGTTTGTTCTCAAAGCTACAATTTCAAGATTCGTTCGCAAGTATTCCACAAGACACATGACTCAATTGATACAGCGAAAGAATATATATTCACTATAAAATCCAGGTTTACGGTTTACATAAGATGTTTCTAGGATCTTTCCCGTTACCAACCTTTGGTACCCTTCAACAACATGCCCCTGGAGGACCAGAAGTTCCATGACCTTCTTCTTCTCCTGGACCCAACTCTGAAGGATTGTGGGCCTTTAGTTTTGAATATGGATTAGTTAGTCTAGGTCTCTTGGGGGGTTGAAACCGGTTGAAACTATAATGATATTGTGTTGATGTCCCAACCCATGATAGGAATACATTGACCAGTACATGATGGGCAATGCTGCTGGGAGTGATGCCGACTGTGATGATGATGAAGATGCTGAAACCAAGACTGACTATGAGGATTTTAAGAAGTGGCTTGATAAGCAGGAGCCATCCAAACCGGAAGGCCCTCCACAGGCTCCTGCAGCTCCCAAAGCCCCTGTTGATCTCAAGTTGGACGTCAAATGGGTTTGCAACATTTGCAAGATGAACGCCAAGCAGTGTCATTTGTCCCAATTAATGTCCGTAGTATATTGACCAAAAAAAATCATCATCATATCATCCGGTTCTTACCTTTTTTTCATTCTTGAGATGGAAAACAAAAAACCATGGATATTAGACAGAGATGCTGGGCCAACCAATGCAAACCGCCTCCACAACACCCTCCTGCGAGCCAAGGCGACTGCCAGGATGCGATTGCACAGCTCAAGCGCAGGATTGCTGAGAAGAAGGCCCAGCTGCAGTTCCTTGGATGGCATTGGTTGCATGTCAGTACCATTTGCCATGTTAAAATAACATCGCAAGTGTTCATATCCACTATTAGACTATGGTTTGTATTTTGGGCAAAGTCTGTCTAACAATTGGACCCCACATACCAAAAAAGTGGAAAACCATCTGCTTTCAATATTACTCAGGTTGTGTGCGGGGTTGACATGTTTATAGTTCTTTTACTTTCAAGGGCCATGCCATCCCTTCCCACATGTTGCAATGCCAACAGCTGCTTAGTTCTTCTTACATAAAATGAGGTCCGCAGCCAGCGCTGGGAATGCTGAGCAGCAAGGGGAAATTCCTCCTTCTCAACCCGGGCCCTTGAACAGAGGCTTGCAGAGGGTCAAGCCTGATCTCAACTTTAAACAAAATGATAGAACATAAAGTTGATACCTTACGATAAGATTTCAGAATCTATGTTTCTTCAGCTGTTTCCAATTTAGATTTTGTGGTCTTGAATTCCTAAAACATCTCCACAGGTGGCAGTGGGAGCGTCGAGGACAACATGGATACCCAACCGATGCTTGACGCCCCCATGGCCCTGCTGACCGATCCCGAGACTCCCAAGCCCAAGCCTACCTTCACTCCTGGACAGATGGAAGCAGCGAGTAAGACTCCTCCAGTTGTTTGCAAACATCCCGAGGTTTGGGTTCATGTCTTGCACAAGTTTCAGACAGGTTGAGAAATATGTTTGTCAAACCTTCATCTTTCAAATCACTTTCATGTTCCAAGGGTGTTTGAAAATCATTCCCAACAACGGTCATGTTCGATTGGATTTGCAGTTCTTTCCCAAAAACTCTTCTACTTTGATTTAAACATGAATAGGCCAGAGCATAGACAGTGTATGGTACAGTAAAACCACCCAGAATTTCCTTGTTCAATCGTATCTTAGCCTGTTGCAGGTTCTGACTCGTCGCCAACAACTTGACGCCAAAAAGAACAAGAAGGATGCCCAGGAGGATGAGCCGAAGGAGGATGAGCAGAAGGATGAAGCAGAGCAGCCAGGAAGCGATGATGAACCACAGGAGGTGATGAAAAAACCAGCGTCAAGGAAGGCAGGCAAGGAGAAAACTCAGCCCAAGGCCAAGGCCAAGGGCAAAGCTAAGTGTAAGGCGAAAGCATCCCCGAAGCGCAAAGCTTCCCCAAAGAAAGCACCCAAAAGTCGTGGTAGGAAGTCGAAGGAAGGCAAAGGTGCTGAGGACCAGGAAGATGAGAAGGATGAGGAGGAAGAGTCAACACCTGAACGCAAAGACCTTTCAAAGGAGTTTAAGCATGCTGCTCAGGGCAAGACTGACCCCCCCGAGCCTGAGCACAAACCCAAGAGGAAAGCCCGCAAGAGCAAAAACAAGAACAAGAACAAGGAGGCTGAGAAAGGTCAGGGATCTGCTGAAGGTGATGCTGAGCCCCCCAAAACCCGCCGCCCCCGCAAGAGCAAGAAAGAGGATCAGGGGAATCAAGGGGATGATGCTGAGGAGCCACAGCCCAAGAAAAAAACAAGGAAAAGCCGTCGAGCCCCCCTCCCGAGTTGATGAACCAGGTTGATGTGATGTATGACAAGATGATGGTAGGAGTCATTACCCAAACGTTGAAAGAAGTGAAGAGCATGACAGTTGATGAACTGAAGGATTACCTGTGCAATAAGAAGCTTGACCTCCCCAATGACAAGTGTGAGTTGAATGTGTATTGGACCCAGACAGCTGCTGCTGTCCGCTTCAAGCTCATCCCATCAAAACCCGATTCTTCCAGATTCTCTTACAAGATCGGCACGTGGAACACCCGTATGGCTGCTGCTTTCATCTCCTCCTATCTCATGGTTGCTTAGCAATGTTTAATTCTGTTGTTGCCAGTTGGATTCCATCCATTGCTTTTCAACATCGCCCAAATTACACCTGAAACATTGGTTTGAAGAAAACAAGTCAATTCCCTGTCTTGTCTCCCGAAATCCTTTCCAGCCCTTTCGCATTGCTGGCCCAGGCTTCGTGGATGGAGACCCAAACGGATGACATCCTGCTTGAATACGAGGAGCCCTTTGGGCCTGTCATGTACGAGATGGCCAGGATCAAGGTCAATGCCAACGCTGCTTTGGAAGCGTTCACGGGGTCTGGATGAGACCATTTTTTGATGTTTGCCTATAGTGCTTTAGACTCTGCACTGATCAGGGTGGGCCATCTCTTGAAACTTAAGATCATTATTCTCAAAAAATGTCAGCTGGAGGACTGAACATAATCTAAAAATCATGTAGCGTCACCTGGATAGCATACCTGTTGCACCTTCAATGGGCAAATGCTAGTCTCCATCTTTGGTTCACATAAATTCAAGGTTATTCCATTAATTTCAATGTTTGTCATGCCCAAGCCTCAGTGCAGACCAGTGCTTGGCAAAAATGCGGGGACCGTAGTTGCTCAGTGAAACCTGAGATGCGAATGCGTGGGACGATTGAGCTGGCTGTTGTCCGCAGGATCACCAATTTACCTGTGGAGCCGTTCAATCTTGATAAGCGCTAGCTACATCGAAGCCTGTGGGGTGAACCTCACCGCTAGAGAGAAAAAGGTTGGTCCGGGGCCATGGAAATTTCACCCCATCCCTGCATATGGCCCCCATATATCATGGTTTGTTCATGCCAAGATCCTACATAACACTGGCAAGTCAATGGCCAAGATTGGAAGGCAACATCTACCTTCCCCAGAAGACCTTGTACCCACTTGCATGATTATGCATCCCATCTATCAGTTACAGTATATATTTGATGTGCTTCTTAGAGATGTTGTTTGGATTCATGGCCATTAGTTTACATAAAAACAAATTGGTGGATATTGACGGCATTACATGGCAATACCACATTACAGTTCAAGTTAATACCCAGTTTATGGCTCTGACCCTTCTCCACCTGCACCCGTTATCCAAGCATCTTTACTCATGCCGGCAATGCCGAGGCCAGAGCAAATGGAAGATGCCTCGGCCACGGCGAGCTCAGAAGTGGGCTGTGAAGTTGGGCTTGGATAGCAAGCCCCGAACCACTGACATGTTTTCGATTCCTACTCACAATTTGAGGTGGGCCAGAAAGAGTTGCAAACACAAGTCTTGCCATCGCCCTTCTGGTTACTTCTGCCACGGAATGCTTTGCTTTCCAAAGTTTTAGTTGGAGTCTACCTTGGTGTTTTTATTTGCTTATCCCTTATTCTATAAGGATTCGATTCCAAGTCAAACAAAACATTTCCAGGAGATTGTTTTTTTGGAACCTCATGGGTTGTGTTGCAGCTATGTTGCGTGACCGGCTTGAAGCATTTGCAGCGTTGTGAGCCCACGCTGCCTCATTGGGTTCAAACCAAGGTGGCAGAGGGGAAACTAGCTTTCAAGAATGTATGCTAGACAATTCCAAACTTAAGATATTCCTAGTGAACCAAAGTATCCCAAGTAATCCCAAATAAGATGCATTTGGCAGCCGGGTCTGAAATTTCTGGTTCAAAGCTCATTGACTATTATATACACTGATATGCTTTTAGATTTAACCTAAAATAATTTGCAAAATGGTTTGATATCCCCAACACCATACAATTTTCCCTCACGGGATTCTGGCGCGGGTTAGTCGGTGCTATGGCTCGATCCAAGCAGTTTGTGGATGCCCTTGTCTGGAGGATGAACCAAATGGGAGTTCCGAAGGTCCCTAGCATGCAACGGTGTCAAAATTATATCAAAGAAATTATGTTACAACATGTTACAAGTACATTCCCACTGATGGAAAAAATGGTCACTAGCTTAAGCACCTACCCTTAGAATATATTTCCCAGGGTGTGTTATGCGTCCCTTCGCCCAGGCAATGGTGCTCCTGACTCTGCTTGTGATTTGGACGGAGCCAGGCACATTAGCGAGGTCTGGCCTACAGGCCTCTTTTGGGAACCTGATTGTAACGATAACATTGGTTAATGATTAATGTTTATCTTTTTGGGGCTGCTACCAGAAAATGATGTAGAATTAGGATTACCCCTGCGAAAGGAACCGGCACCCCTGCAATGGATGGAATTCTTTGCGGGGAAGGCGGAAGCTACAAGAATGTTTCATGAGTCCCACTACAGAACAGCCAAATTGGACATCGAGTACATGCAGCCAAAACCAAACGAGATGAACCCAATGGATTTGCTGTCAGATGCGGGCATGGGGTTTCTGAGCCAATCCAAGCAATGTATCCTGTGTTATCTTCAATTTGGTTTCCAAAAGTTATTCTTTATCCTATATGGTATTGTTTAGATGCATCCTCCTTGGTGGGCCCTCAAACTTCTCATCCTAGGTTAGCTGTATCCACGGTGCTTCTTGGAGATCACATAAATGGATTTGTCTCTCACTTCGGCTTGAAGTGTAGCAGCTTTTCCCCTGTCAATGCTGGAACCTCTGGTAGAACTCCCTGCACTCCCTATGGTAATTTTCATTACACTAGTGTGCTTGAAGGGAATTGCCTCGCCAGTCGGAAACTTGGTGTCTTCAAATTAAAACCTTTGTTTATGCACCCCATTGTTTATGTCTCCCAGTCTTCAAAATGTTTGGTGGTATCAAGAAACATAAAAACATGTTCCTGCCCATGGTTGGCCAATTTCTCCAATGCCTAACATCTAAGGGTGGTTCTATTGTTGGCGCTGGTGGTTTGTCTCAATGGGACATTCATACTTGAACAGCCTGGCAATAGCATGTTTGAATACTACCAGCGCTTCAGAGACTTTACCCAAAAGCTGATGGAAATTGGAGGCCGTCATACCGCCCCTTGTCATAACTTTGAAGCAGGTAGCGGTCTTGAGCGAACAGCAGGAATGCCATCTTCAGATCCAGGGGTTGCATACCTTGGGGATGCTGGCAGGCTGAGTGGTTGTGGAATTTGATTTGGGTATCATTTTCTTTTATAATGGTTTCTCCCCCGGGTCTATCTTAGGTGCAACGAGTGGGCTGGTGGATGGCTATGTATGGTGGTCCCACACCTAAGCGGCATGTTGCCTACAGCAATAGCCCTGCGATATCAAGGATCAACCTGGGGCGACTGGAGGGTTGGGATCAGAAAATGAAAGCCCAAGAAGCGGCTGGAGCCCCACGGGTGCAAACTTGTATCCAGTACTTTGATAAAAAGAACCAACGCCGCTACAAAGGGGCACCAGCTCTTAAGGCCAGTGAGTCCGGGCCCCACTTGCTGACAAGCATTGATGCAACACACAAGTGTTTTCAGATCTTTTAAGCATCTTTTTGAATAGAAACCCTTCACTGATGATACACCTGGTACCTTCTAATTATATTCTATCACCGTTTGCCTAGGAATTATCCAGCTGACTTTGGCAAGAAGTTGGTCATGATCTATGATGATCTCATCGCCCAGAAATCAGGATTACCTGCACTACCCAAAGATTTGCCCTGTGCAAAGGAAACCTTCGCCAGCATGAGTTATGATGATCTGTGGCAGGAAGCGGACGTAGTTTCCGTTTGCCACTGGCTCAGAGGGGGAAGGGATGTGTCCATTCCAAAGGACTGGAAAGACCTTCTGCCCAAAAAACTTTAAGGGATGCTGTGAACCAAACGATACCAAAGGTTACAATGTTGAAATTTGCGGAATCAAATCAATAGTTTTATGGTTCCATATTCCAGCTCAACGGGTTTGACGATTGCTCGAAAACCTGCGAAGTTGAAAATCAATACTTTTTACCCATAATTGTCGTAATGCCCCGTAACGTAAAAATAACCTGGTAAAACATTGGTTTTTACAGGTATTTTTCCAGTTTACCCCATAAAATTTTATGGGTAAAACGTAACCCGTAATTGACCCGTAATTTACCCATAATTTCCCGTAATTTACCCATAAAATTTTATGGGTTATTTTGGGAAAAACCTAGGTTTTTTTTCGTGCTATTTTCATTAACTTTTTGATGATTTTATTGAACTTTTTGAATGTTTTGATCAGGATATATCCAAACTTATCCAGAAAAATGTCACCATCCAAGGCTTTGATAAGCCCATTTGTAGCACATGTTGTGGGGAACAGCTTCCAATTCAGAATTGCTACGTTGGATATGCAAAGATGCCCACTTACCAACGTGCTTTGGGATGGAAAATGAAGTGGCCGTTTCAATGTATCACACGTCTTGCCTGCACAGCAAAGTTTCATGTTTAATATCTTCATTTCTGAATGGGTCCATTGTGGCTTCCAAGCTTTATAGGGATTGTAGTGATCCAAATTGGTAGCTCAGAACCCATGGCATTCATGCGGTCGGCTACTTCCTGCTCTTTCAAGAGCAGAGCATGGAGCACAGCCGAGCTGGGGGATGGTCTAGCCCATCTATTGACAGACGGGCGGCTCGAGTTGCCCGACGATGAGGCTCAATTGAAGGACTCTTCTTTCCTCAGCTTGTTGCGGAGATGTGAGTTCTGCATGGGGTAACCCTTTCATCTTGACCTTGACACCCTCTAAGGTTCTAAACTATTTTGATAAAAGTTGCCTTTATGTGGTTGTGTCTATCTTCCCCACATCCAAAAAACACTTGTTGTGGCATAGATGAATGGGTCTACCTACGCGCTGCCAGGAGTTAGAGCAAACCCTGGCAGATTTGGAGGCACGTCAACAGAGTGATGGGAACTCAGCTCACCCATGTTGCAACAATCCCACAAGTAAGGGAGATCAGATCACGTTACAAAAAACTTACAGTCGAAATGGAAAAGTGAAAGTTACTTTCAATCTTCACTTAGGACAAAGCCTTGGCAGCTCTTCAGCAGGTGGTGGCTTGACTGGAGACTTCCCTTCTATGTTAGTTTGTTGGGGTCCAACTTTGTAAATGTGATGTTTTCCAACAAATGCCCGTACTTTGGTTTGCATATTTTATATCATATTCACCATGACTTAGCATCGCTTGAGGCAACGCCTCAAGCAGCCAAAGCCGACACCGAGAAGTCAGTCTTCGACCAGGACACCCTCCCTGCTACGGAGACCCAGTTGGAAAAGGAACGATCTTGGAGGTCACCTTCCCCGACCCCTTCTCAAGCAACGGAATCCACTTTGAGAGCCCCAAGCTCTGCCAAATCAGTTGTTTGGCTCGGCGTGTTAATCTTCCTGGTGTTGTTCATTGCCTTTAGCTTTTACGTTTTTGTTTCTCTTAGGCCTCAGGGAGTGGTGACAGATTTGTCTACTTTTTGTCAACATGATATACTATATACCATGTGTTGGCAAGTGATGAGGTTACTGATGATGTGGTGAAGATGTACCAAGCCGGAAAGTTGGATGCGCTTACTGCAATGAAGATGCTGTCAGACATCAACTCGCAGCCCACGTCCCCACAGGGTACGCCTTCCCCGAAGCCGATGCCAGGTGATTCTTCTAAGGTTCCGCCAGTTCCGCAAGGGTCTTCACTCAAACGTCCCAAAGAAACGGAGACATGTGAGAGCGACACAGATGAGGAAATGGAAGGTGAGGATTTCAAACACCTCGACCCTTTGCCAATTGTTGTCCAGTACATATTTGCTTTCAAATCCGCAATTGGTTTGTGCACATATCCTAAAGCTGCTAAAGCTTCTAACTAAGGTTTAGTGACTTTGACATCCTATAACAACACCATATCGACAAACCAAGGATATCAAGACCAAGAATGCCATCAAGGCCAAGTTGAGGAGACTGTGCGAGAAGAAAGCCAATGGACGCTTGAACGTCCCCGAGTGGCTCCACAACCAATGGAAAAACGGAGATCATTTAGCCATGGCTTTGAAATTCCAAGAAGCCAACTTCGACAAGGAATCCCATTTTTTGTTATCTATCTTCCACCGTTTGGCCAAGCATCACTTGATGAAGTCAATGTCCATTGGATCCATGCAGGAAAAACGTAGTCAACCTGGCAGGAGGCTTTCATCAAGCAGTGCGAGAAGACGACGACCGAGATCGAGCGCCAGAAGAACACGATTGCTGTGGGGTGGTATTCCAAAACGGATATGAAGACCACACTGAAGTGGAATCCGAATCTGGACCAAACTTGTTATATCTTGATGCCCTGCCAATCTCACCATGCCAACCCAAACAGGTGATCTCAAGTTTTAGTCTTGCTGTCTTCCCATCATTCCCAGGAAGAAGATTGAGGGCGCAATCCAGGTGTGCATGCAGGATGAGAAACACTTGGTTAGGCTGGACACCCAAATGCTTCCATTACAATGATCCTGATATATCGTGATGAATGTTGAATCACACATGGTCTTCAGTTTTCTTTGTTATCAAGAAAGCATGTGATTCAAGTTGTGGCAGGAACTGCAAGTACGGAGGGGAGCCAGAGTACTGGGTCGAAGTGCGGGAAACTGGTGAGAAGGGCCAAGAGCGAGAGCAAAAGAAGAGACGCATAGAGATCACTAAGGACTTCTATGTTGTAATTGTTCCTGACACTGATGCCTAACAAAATTGTCAGCATAACATGAGGGTTCTTTTAGTCCATATGAAACATAGCAGGAATGTAATCCAATACTTGGGTCACAAAACCAACTATCGCGAGGACGAATCGTCCGAACCTGTTGGCGAAGTGAACTCGACTCAAATGGCAGCTATGGATGCTCGTGCAAAGGCTTCTGAAAGTCTGGGATGTGTCGCCAGTTCCCAGGTCACTCAGATTATTTGCAAACAATACTTATAGGTTAGTTCGACAGTTTGATAAGTTCAAGCATAGTTGAAACTTGACTTCTGAACAGCTTCTTTCGGGGTGATTGGTGTATGGTGCCTAGAATCCAACTTCCAAAACCTTGGACAGCCCTACCAATAAGCCATACTTAGGCGATTCGTGGCAAGGAAGTTTTGAGCAAGTACTGTGACAGCATACTTGCCAAGTCAGCGAAGCTTCGCTCACTTGTCCATGATCTGCAGAAGCACTATGATGATGAGACTGCAACCAGGTCAATGTCTTAGACACATAAATTTACAAATATGCCAGGATATGTCAGATAATTTATCTTCCATCAACTTTGTCCCACAAACCTCTCCTGCAGAGCAAGCAGCTTCAGCTTCAGTGCATAGTAGCCAGTAGCCAGTGCAAGAGCCAGAATGCAGAGGTCCATCACCGCCCTGAAGACCGACCTGACCACTCTGGAGGGCAAGTTCAACCAGTGCTCAGAGCATTTGGCCCATGGAGAAACAGTTGACTTCTGTGAGGAGTGGCCCGGCTAATAAAGGGGTAGCAAATAAACTAAAAAAGAAAGTTCTCTGGGGATTGTGCCCATGTTGTCCAAAACCAATACCTTGATCTACCCTGCTGCCATTCAAAATATATTTGATTTCTCCAAGAATAAAAGCCTGTTTGTTGATCAAGGTGGAGCAAGAAATCCGAGCTGATGATGAAGGCATGCACTGTTGAGTGCCTTTGGATCCAACCTAGATGTCCATCTCTTGTGCATCTTGCTTGTTACTCTTTGTTGGTTTATTTAAACACCATCAGCTGAACAGCGCCCTTTATGACTCAAGAGCCCCCATATGGATACATACCGTTCTGAACCCGCCAAGGTGCACAAAGATTGCGCAGAACGAATCGAAGATCCGGTGTTGTCCTCATTTCTCCTCAGATGCAGCGATGTTCCAAGCAAATCAATGTGCCAGGTTGCAATTTGAATTGCTTTTAGATACTGTTTGAAGAAACGAGATTTTGTTGATTCTTTCTTTCTGGGATAGTTGCTTGACAAAATAAACCTGGATGCACCCTGGCCAAGGAATGCCAAGCGCCACTTCAACAAGAAGGAGAAGGAAGTGAAGGATGAACAGTAGATGTAGTAGCTAGTTTCCTTTAAGCCAAGCTGAAACCAAAGTCTTTGGCCGATGTGCCACTTCTGGGCTTTTTCCCGATTTGGGATGGTGATGTGTTCTTTTAAACACAATGCCAACATATGTCAAATTTGCTTATGGGGTTGAATCCTGCTTTAAATTGCCCGATGCAGCTTTGAGCTATACTCTAGAGGGCTTTTTAGACCATCTAACCCCCATTGACCTGTCAAGAACTAGTACAGAATTATGTTGGCCTATTGCTTTGTTTATGTGGTGGCTGCATTAGGAAGCAACGAGACAATGCAGGACTTAGTACATTATCATATCTTAGCCTGAAACAGGCCAAATCTCGGACGACTTTGGGGCTTACGACATGGACAAAAAAAAGCAACTTTATTGCACCTTTCAAAACTCCTTTCCCATTAATTATCATAAGACATTAGGGGACACTATGTGCCACTACCCGCTTTGCCAGGCCCTGGGCCCACTGCCAAAGTCTTTGCCAAAAATGTTGGTCAAGGAGCCGTTCCCTCAGATGGGGATACATTACGTTTTTTGAGCAACCATGTTTGGCCGCTATCCAATTTCCTTTCTGCTCAAGTAAGTTGGGAAATGTTGGGAATACATTTGACAACATACTGACATACTTTCTCCAACCATATCTATATACATTTAAACATTATGCTAACATTAGATAGGTCAGTAAGGGGAGATAACCAACAAGAAAGGATAGTCAGAATGACTAAGATTATGAAATCAAATTGATCCCCAAACCTGTCCACACACCC